AATGTAATTGCCCTATATGTAAACTACATTATTTGAAGGATAATAATTTAATAAGAACCGCTGCCGTCCAAAATAAAAGCATTGCAAATATTAAAGTAAGGTTTACGAGTAATTAATCCTGAAATGGAAATTTTTTTTTTATCCCAAGTTATCCCAACATCGTTTTATAAAATTTTCCAATCCTAATTTTCTAAAACTATAAGTAGGTATATGTGTACGTACATACATAGAAAGATGGAAAAGTTCTTTAAACTGACTATGTTCTGTACTTTGAATGAAATTCTTAAATTAAAACTTGTCGTTCTTCCTAAATTGAAACAAAGCAAAGATACAATCAAAAAATCTAAAAATTAAATAAAAAATTACTTTAAAAATTATAACGAAATTCACGATATTAAAAAATTGAGTACACCATAATATTTTATATTTTTTATTTAATGTTTTTAATACTAGATTATACACATATACATACATACGTATGTATACGTATGTGCAAATGAAATTATGTACTGAAATTAAAGAAAAATGCTCACGTTCTTTACGTTTTAATATTTTTTTGTTCGACATGAGTTTTTCTTTTAAATTACATACTTGACATTTAAAATTAAATTAAAGAAAATCACAAAATACACAAAGCTAAATCACATATATCTAGTGATTTTTTTATAGTCGTATTTTTGTTATAAAATTGTAGTATAAATTAATATTTAGAAAAGTGTAATAATGCGAACACATTCATGAATAAAACGTCTAAGCTTAATAAGTAAACATTTTTTGCAATAATATTGTTTAAATAAATAAATTAGAAGACTTTTTTATTCTCAAAAATTATTTAGCACATATTTTTTTACCAAAATTTACGATTATTTCCGATTTATTATCAGGCGGATTAAAAAAAACTACAATCAAACGCATAGTAAACCAAATTTTAAAAAAAATCTTATCCATGTAGAAGATTTAATATTCTTGACTTCATCATAATTTAAATTTTATTTCAATATTAAAAATTAAAACTTTTGTTCCTAGTTTCATAATTTATGTAACTGCAAGCCAAAATGTTTTGATTACTAAATCTAAATTTATTAATTAAATCTAAAAGATGAAGTCTTATAAAATGTTCCTTACGCTTACAGAAAATCACTAAGTTAATTTTTGTTATTGTTGTAATAGCTTTCAAATTATTTGAATGAGATAAACAACATACTCATATGTGTTTATTTTTCTAATGTTTATTTTTATAAAAAAAATTGTTTCCCTTCTTGACCCCTTGAAAGACCATAGAGCTGGTACCTAATATCATAGACAGTCCATGCACCAGTGCAATTGCCTCATTGGGTTAATAGTAGTTAGGTGACTAGCCTGCCAGTAATTTTATTTTTTCTTTATATTAAACATTTAAAGTTATTGAATATATCGATATTTATTGTTTATTTTTCTCGGTTCAATATCGAAATATATGAAAATTACTTTTATATTAATTTTTAATTATATGAGCACTGTATACTAAGCTACATAATATTGAATATAATATTTATAGTGATTTACATTTGAAGCAGAGACCCTTCAGTTAAAAGGATCGGGGCCATAAACAATGAACTGCATCATTGGTCAGATTTTCATAAATTTATATTAAAGAGTTAATTAACTCGATTTAGGCTTAAGATGGCTTTAGTCCTTTTGGTTTCTACGTACCGGCCGTATGAACTTAATAAAAACAATATCCAATTGTTAAGAAACTAATAGATTACTTTAAAACTGGAAATTATTTTGTTATAAATTATAAAAAAAATTTTATTTTGAATTTATTACTTTAAATTTGAATAAAATAATTAATAAATTTTGTCTCTTTTGAGATCGTCTTTCAATTCATAAATTATAAAAATGATGGGGTAAATTGTTAAAATATAAGTTTAAATTTGACCTTATGCGTGAATGTATAAGAACTGCAATAACCAGCAAATACAAAAAAAAAATAATATTTGAATTAAAATATTGAATTTATATGAAATAATTAATAAATTAAAAATAATAAAACAAGAATATTGTTTAAAATATAATTAAAATAAATTTTAAATTGCAAGAAAGAGAAAAACAAAAATTCAAAAATTTCTTCTTTTCTTTTATTTTTAAAAATAAAAATTGTTGAAAAAAGAAGGTGAAATACACAAAAAAAAAAAAAAACAAAGCATAATTTTCTCAAAAGATGGTGAAAATCTGAAAACACAAAAAAAAACAAAAAATCTAATAATGTAATAATTATTAATTGTCAAAAAATGTAATTACTGTTATGGAAAATAATTATTACATTAAGTAATAAAAAAAAATTAAGTCTTACACGACAAGAAACTTGAAAAAACAAAAATTAATTTAGAAAGATTAACGAAAGTAAAAAACCAACAAAAATAAATCAAAACAAAACAGTCAAATGCGAAAAAATGCAAATTTCTATTCGTTTAAAAATTATTCAAAAATTTTTGAAACTGAAACAATGGAACTACCAACAAGTAAATATCTAATGGATTATTTATATGTAATTCGTGAAGATGTGCCATTCCGATACAATCGAAAAGTAAGTACTTATGTACTCATGTACATAATGAGTACTCAATGTTATGTATAAGTACAATTTGTGTACGTAATTGCAATTATATCATAAAAAAAAAACAAGAAAAAAAAAACAAAAATATTTTCTACACTATTAAAGTTTAAGGTTATCTTAAAATAAGATTGAAAGAAAATTTGAAAAGTTTATGATCAATTTAAATCTACAGTTAGATAATATTTTTTATTACGTACATATGTACGTATGTATGTATTTAGGGGAAAAAAACGAATTGTTATTATGAAACAGAATATGTACGTATGTAGTAATTATTCAGTAATATACTGGTATAACAGTAATTTTTCAGTTTATTTTAAAATAAAAAATTAAGTTATAAACAAAAAAAAATATTATATTTTGTTTTTTTTTTTGTCATTTCTCATTATTTTTTTTTTGTTAATAACTTTTGCATATAATTAAAATTATTCACAAATGAACTGATAAGGTTCATTATACTGTAATTAAAGTATATATTTTTAGGTAATTATTATTGTTATTTTTAAAATTTTTTAATGATTACATTTACAAATACATTTAAATACGTAAATTATAAGCATTTAAATGCATTAAATTTAATTCTTAATATTAAAAGAGCACAACTGTGATAATATGATATCGAAATTAAAAATTAAATAAAATTGAGCAAAAGATTTTTAATAATTCTACTGCAATAAGTTATAATATATAGTAGTCATATTGTGTCATAAGGAAAGAGGATGCCGGTCGACCCTAAATCCCAGCACTATATAATATTTGAGTAAAATTTAATTCAGTTTGGCAAATTCTGAAATAATCAAATGAAAAGTGACAAATTATTTTAAAAATTTGCTAATTAACATAATGTGAATTGATTGGAATCTGTTAATAGAAGTTATTGATTAAACATACTTTTCTTTAATTTTTAATTCTAATCTTTCGAATTTTGCAAAAAATAACTTTAAAAATTTCAAAATGTTTTATTTGAATTTATACAAATTTTAATTAAAACAATTATGCAACATTATGAACGTGGTTATTGTTATCCTTAATGACCCTATAATGGCTATTGGTACTGTACTGAAAACAATGATTTTTGGTACCCTAACAATACATTTCATTTAATATATTATATTTGTATATATTCTACTGTCCTTCTGAAATGCCTTTAATACAAAACTAATCTTAGAAAATATTTTTTTTAAAATATCCGCATCTTCACAAGCATTCAGGCAATATTAACTGATTATTGAACAAGTTGGAACATCGTATATATTTTCAACAAAAAATAACTCATAAACTATGGAATAAATTATAAATATTCTAAATTTACAAGTATAATAAGTAATAAATATTTCCAACCAATTATGGCAGACAAATAAAAGTAATATTAGTAACAAATATTTGCCTTAAATCTTTTGGACATTTTTGTACAGATTAAAATTTAAAATTTAATAAACGTACAAATTGAAATTTGAAAAAAAAAAAAAATTATTAAAGAAACTTGCATTTTTTTAGAGTATTTATAGTAATTGTCATAAAAACATAATTGCATTGTGTTTTATAGTTACCGCGTCTCGCCACAATAATTCCGTACATTACATTAAATGTATTTTCTTTCCAAATCAAATTAAATACCTATGTATATACATGTAAAGTCATTTAAAAATTGCAAAAAAAAAAATTAACCTACCGTAACATTATAAACCTTATCACAATAATATTGTCAAACAAAGGTTCTTCATTTAGGGTACAATTACTTATTTTATATTAAGTATTATCCTGTAAGTTGACAGGATTATGTATGATGAATACCATTAATGTCCTAAAGATAAAGTGTGTTAAAAAAATTTGCTGAAAAATTTCGTTTTAATCTATCCAGATTCGAAATGATACTTATTAGTAGGACATTACTCATATATGGCATTTCCTATTGAAGAGTCTTTGATGGTGAACCACCTGCATAAGAAAATATAATAAGAACACAAAAGTTCTAGCACTTAGGCTTTTCTGGTCCTCTAATATTTGATTATAAGTTCACATACTTATAAACAGTAATCAGTTACTAAATATGCATAACATTACTTAAAAATTATTTCTTACAATTTACCATTGATATAATGATTATGCTTAGTGAAGCGGTAAATGCACCGTGAAAATATAATAGGGTACAAAACAAAGGTTTAAAATTTTTTAAAATCCATAATCGAAATTATTAATTTTAATTATAAATTACATAAAATAATTAAAAAAATTTTTTGTGAAAATCAAAAACAATTTGAGAAATTACTTAATTAATTGATTATTAAAGGAGAAATATGTATGTAATTAAAAAATCACAAAATTTCAATATAAATTACTTAATTTTTCAATATGAATTGCTATAAAAGAAAATTAATTTTTTTTTACTTTTTATTTTCAGTCAAAATGTTCAATATTTCGAAATTTAGTTTTATGTATTTGCCTTAATGTTACGTACGGTAATATAGTAAGATTTCCACGTGAATTGGATCGACATGGCTTAGCATTTTTAGTACCTTATTTATTACTATTATTTCTAGTCGGATTTCCATTAATATTATTGGAAATTGCTGTTGGCCAGTTTTTAGGGCAAGGAGCCGCAAATACATGGAGATCATCACCAATATTAAAAGGTAAATTTTATTAGTCATATAATTTTCAATATTACATATTTTTAGAGAAATTCCATTAATAATATATGTATATAACTTTAAGCAATAGTACTATGATTTTTCTTCGTTTATACTTGATTTCATCATTATGTACAAAGCACATTTGTAGCTCTTTCATTTTATATTTTCAAGAGTTATTTAGATTTTAGATTCTTATTTTAACGGTATTCAATTAATTTCAGGAGCTATTATTTTTTATTTCAGGAGCTTGTATAGTCAGTAGATTTGCATCGTGGCTTGCAACAGTATGGATATCACTTCAAGCTGTTATGGCCGGACTCTATATAGGAATGTTAGTTTTTAAATCGATTCCGTTTAGCAACTGTGTTGAAAAACTAAAAATATTTGAAGGGGTAAATACATACAAGAAAAAAACATGCATGCGTACATTTATTCACTACTATACTTCATCTAACTTTGAATTATTAGAATTTACAAGCAAAAATAACAAATGAAAATAATGAAAATTAAAGAAAATTTTTATTTTTCTTCCATTTTTTTGATTATTTTTTCCCTTTAATTTCAATATAGGAAAGTTATAAAGTATTGGCTCTTGATGGTCAACATTGTATTAAAAAAACATTTCTTACACCTGTTTGGAACGATCCATTTTACTATGGTCTATTAATTTTCTTTTTAATTTTACTTTGGATTATTACTATGTTTTGGTAAGTACACAACCGTATACACATGTAAAAGTACAAATAAGGTGATTGTTTTACCTATAGAAGATTATTGTGATCCAGTTTACTTTGGATCATGATTAAGTCAATCAAATATCTATAATTAAATCAATTTTAAAAACTATTGTTGACAAATTAAATAAATTGACAAAAATTTCACTTTTTTTATTAATTTAGTTTAACTTTAATGATTAAATTTATTTTTTTTTTTGTAAATTTATTTTTGCAGCACCCACAGTGCTAAAATTTATCGTCGTACAACTTTCTTTTTTGGTTTAATTGGTTTCGGACTATTGATTGCTCTTACCAGTTGGGAAGTGAAAAAATCTTTAGATATAAATTATTTTCCTGAATTATGGTCATTCAATGAAAAATTATTATCGTCATGTGTACTATGGTTTAATGCATTAGTTCAAGTTATATATTCAACAAATATTGGTTTTGGTATATTACCAGTTATGACTGGAAAATTTTTGTATAAAGGAGATGCTGTAAGAACATCAATAATATACTTATGTTTTAATTTATTAATAAATGCCATAGCAGTAACATTATATATGGTACAATATGATAATGAATATACCAAAGAATCAACAAATGAAATACCTGAATTAAAACCATTAACAGCAATTTATGATAAATTATTAGATTATTATGCCAATGCCGATAGTAATCCTAATGATATGATGATAACAAAAATATCTGGATGTCTAATATTTGCATTAATTATAATATCATCAATTATAACAATTTCAACTGCCATTTATACTTCATCACGTTTAGTGCCAAAACATCCAAATTATGTGATGAGTTTATTAGGTCTTTCGGTGGCTATAGCAGCTTTAGTATGTCCTGAATTCAAAATTATAAGAATATTAGATTCGAGAATTGTTGGTACTTTAGTAATATCATCTTTAATATTTGATTTAATCGCTACCGTTTGGGTTTATGGTAAAAAGAATATTTATACAGATTTAGAATTTTCTATTGGCCGACCAATTTTCAAAGGATGGTTATATTTATGGATATTAGCTCCCGTATTACCGACAGCAATATTAGTTTGGTGGTGCGTTGGTGATGATCAAAATGATGTATTATTTTTATATTTACCAAGATGGGCACCAATAGCATTCGTTTTAGTAATTATATTGTTAATGGGTAAGTTAAAACTTGTTAATTTCACCAATTCACAATACTACTTTTCAACAATATATGTATACGGTTTGTTTATAGCAAAATTATTTGACATTATTCTATTTTTAATTTCAGCTGCAATTGAAATTTTCAGACAAGTTGATTATAATTTCTTTGGTATGATATGTGAAGCTGCCAAACCAGCAAAAGAATGGGGTCCAGCAGATCCTTTGGCACGACACGCATGGAAACAATGGCGTTCTGTGTGTCAAGATACTGGTCGAAAGGATTTTACACTTAGACGCCGTGGTACACGTGATTATACGCATTCTATTAAAAAAGGTCAATATTCAACAAGAGATAACAATGCTAAATTGGGTACACCAACTTCAAATTGGAAATCAGTTTCAACACCAGGCAGCAATTCACCAAATTATAGTGGTTCCGTTTTTGGTGATTCGGCCATTGAAGAAGACATGAGTGTTGATAAATATTCTGGAGTTAATCATAATTACTCAAACTCATATCAACATAATGATACAAAATTAACATCTTCACGTTATCCATCAAATAGATCACGAAAAATGTCAAACGATAAACAAAGAAATCATCATAACAATCATCATACGCCATATCCACCATCAATATTACAACAATTATCAGCAGAAAAACAACAAAAACAATTACAATCATCACCACACAATCTAGAACATAAGGAAATATTATATATTAGACGTTTATCAAATGATGAAACTATACCAGCGAATCATTCGACTCGTATTGAAATAACACCATCTAGTGAAGCTATTACATATGCAGCAACTAGAAATCCGATGGCAAGAACACCTTCAAATGTCAGTACAATGCAACATTATAAAATCTCATTAAATCCTTCATCAAAAAACAACCGGGAACCAATAAGTAGTGGTATATTCGTTGGAGGAACCGGTGGTTGTAGTAGCAATAATGCAATCAATATTGGAGATCACAAAAATACAAATCCAGATTTTGATCATATTTGTTGGAGGAAATTTTCAGTCAACTCCGAAGAATATTCAACCGAATTGTGATTTTGTTTTAATGAACTACATGTATTTTTTGTTTTCTCATTTTTACCAAAAAAATAAAATAAAATAATAAGGTATTTGTAATAAGATTTTTTTTCGGAATGAAAAGACTTTCTTTTGTTAAATTAAAAAACACAAGTTTATAGAAGATAAAAATATGTAAAGAAAATTTAGTTACAAACTTATTATTATGTCGTAAATAATATATTATGTAGATAATATTATTAAAATATAAAATTTAAAAATAATATCGAAAATAATAAGTCCATAAAGAAGTCAATATTTTAAATATTATTAAACAAAAACTTATTTAGTTATTAATAATATTATTCTTTTGTAAAGTTTGTGCACTACTTCACACGTACATGCATAATAATTTAAAAATTTTTGTAAATATAGTTTTAAGTAATAATAAATAAGATGAAATATTATTCATAGCAAGAAACCAAAATAGTTGAGTTTTTCAATAAGGTATTATGTTGTGGGTGATCTGCAATAACCATCGCTTTGTAAATATAAGTATATTATTTTTTATATTTAGATACACAGCTCCAAATATTAAACCTAAATCGGATACGCAAAAGTACCCCAATCTGAACTCTAAATTTCTACTAAAAATAGAAAGTTTCCATACTAAAATATTGAAATAATGGGTCTATAAATTAATGATAGTTAAAATTATAAATTTTTATTATTTTTCAAGTTTAGTTCTATTCGTGAAATGATTCTGGTACTTTTCCAGTTTGCAAACAATTTACCAAAGTGCACGAATGTGAACGTTATTTAACGCTAGTGTCATTCAGTTTTAATTGTTTTAATCATTAGCGCAAGTGACTTTCAACCTTTGATATTCTTTGCGCGCATTTTAGTAAGAGCAATTTTAGAAAATGATTGCTGTAATATTGTATAAATGTAAAATATTGACGTAATTGATATACTCGTCAGATTGATGATGTTCTGGGAAAATGCCTTTTGTTTTAAATTAAATTCTTTAGTTATAGTTTATTCAAAGTCTTTGTGTGCGGTCTTAGTTTATTTTTTTGACCTTTTTAATACTTGCATAAAACATGGTCACAAAAATGATCTATTGTAAAAATAAATCTAAAATAATTAATTTAAATAAAACAAAAAAATCTGTCATTATTAAATTTTGTTTCTAGTTTAGAAATAAAACGTTTCAATTTAACACAAATCGATTTCTAAAATTTTGTAGCCCAAATCTCATTATTACTAGATTAATAATGTTTAAAGTATCTTAATGTTTGATTGAGTTAAATTTTATATACATACGTACATATGTATGTATATGTTTGCTTTATACAACAAACTAGAAACATTAAATATTTATTTAAAACATTTATAATACATATTAATATTCTGAATTCGTTAGTTTTATATAATAAAGAAATTATTCTTATTTCAATAGTCCTTTCCAGTTCTAAAAAACATAAATTATAAAAGCATAATTATGAAAACTGAACTGTTTATTGATTTAAAAATGTGGCAAGAAACAGGATAGCAGAAAGAAAAGGGATTTTTTTTACCATGCGTTAATTTTTTTCATTGATTTCTATTCTAATTTTTTATATTTTTTGCTGCGCTCTTCTGTTGAAATTAATTAAAAATAATAATCGTTATTCTTCTTATTGTTTAGTTAGAAATATCTATCTATTTTATATCTAATTGAAAATTTTATTTAGGTTCACTAATCCAAAAATCATTAAAACAATTTGGAAATAATCATATTTCAATAAATAGTTATTAAAAAAGAAAAATAAAATGTTAATAATTTATTGATCAGCATTCGAAAACTTTTCACATAATCTGTTTAAATTTTTAATATTAAATGTTAGATGTCGCTAACAGTCTGACTATGACAAAAAAATTTTTTAATGTTGGCAGTAACTATTAAAAGCGTCAAACTTCAATTTGATACTTTGATACTTCATAGCAAAAAAAAAAAATTTAACAGATGTTAAATTATTAAAATTTTAATATATTCGACAAATTTTTATATATTTCGATTTTCAATAAGCAGTGTTATATAGTTTAAAAAAGGTTTGTTTTTAAAATATAAAATATAAGAATTAAAAATTTTTTTTAAAGATTTCATATAAATTTTAAAGATAAAGTATATTTAATAATTTGTAAATATTATAACCATACGGGGAATTATACGTAAGCTTTAAACGGCCTTGATGAAAAAAAAAATCGCTTCAAAGTGAAAACCTACGATCGTTCTTGATTATATTTTGTTAATAAAAGGTAAAATTCTTAATTTATGTGTGTATCCAGTTAATTACATATTCGATTGAATAATTCTTAAAAAAAATCAACAAGTTTGCAAACCTATCTACCTACTCTTTCCAAAAAACAAAAAAAGAAAAAAAAAACCTATTCAGCAACTAATTAAATAATGAAAACTGGAAAGCGTTTATAATTTTAAGAGTAAAAATAGTTTTATTAATAAATCTTTTTTATGTTTAAAAAATCTGTTCCAAAAATAATTTTTTTTTGGTGTGTAGGTACCTTAAAATTTGTAGTGAGACATGTTTACATTCTATTAGTTGTACGTTAAAAAATGAAACCAACAAAAAAACAACAAAATAATTGTAAAGTGTAGTGAAATTTTTACTAAGTATAAAATAAATTTTTGTTATAATCTATAATCTATTTAATAATGTTAAAATATAATTTGATTAATTACGTATAACTATTCTGCATTTAAATTTGTTAGGAAATTTTGTTTAACATTGCAATCGTACAAGGCACAGTCAAATACCTACATACATATGTATATAGTTTTCATCTTCTTAAGCAAATTGCAAACATTTTTAAAAAATGAGGTCATAATTGTGATCACAGTGCATATTAATAAAATTAATCTTTCATTTTAAATAGATACTTTGATTAATACATAATATATTGGTGTAAAATTAAAGGCAAAAAATTTTTCAAAGAGAAAAAAAAACGAGATTTTTAAGTTGACAAGGAATCTTTTAGAAGAATAGACAGTGTTGTTCATTAATCAACACATTAATAGTGGGTAATTCAGCTGATTCAGTTAGTTGTTTAAGAATTTTTTGTTCTCCTTGCATTAAAAAATTAATACTCCAATGCATTAAAAAAATGATGTCGAATTTAATAGAACTTTCTTTGTTTTTTTAAAAATGAAAGTTCAGCACTAACCTACCATACGCATAATTTACTGACATATTGTAGGTAGATATACTTAAGTATATCTAAAAAGATAAAAACAATACAAACAGGTACAAACAGGTACAAAGCAAAACTAATCAAAAAAGGTGACAATATTAAAAAAAGGATTTCCAAACTATGCTTCATTCTCGTTCTATTATTTTACGTATTTCAAACTTTATTTCCTAGTAAATTTATCTAGAAATTTATTAATTTCCGTTTTTAAAATATGAATATTCCAATAATGACCGAAAGACATGCAATCAAATATTGCATAATATAAAAGCAACTAAAAAGGACACATCCTTATGGATCATTAAAATCACTATAAGAAAGCTTATAAATCAATTAGGATAATTAATTTTATATCTACATTCATATATTTTTTGAACTTGTAATTTCACAAACAAAGTCAATATATAATATACATACATACCATACATGACATTTACATATTTCAAATCAAAAGTAGTTACCGAATTTGTATGAAAATCACAAGAAGTGTTGAAAATTGTATAATGTCTTAATTTAAACTTCATATACTAATTCTACGTATCTTTTGAATATTTAACAATCGTATTTAAAACGTGAATTTTATAATATAATTATAAATTCGAACAGATTTTATGGTTTTCATATTTTGTCAATATGAAAACTACAAAAAAAATCTGTTTATATTTTCAAAATAAATGTTTAAATGAATTACCATAGAAACTAATAAACCCAAACATATATTTTCTAGGCCTTTGTATATTTGCATTTTTTCAGCGTTTTTTTTCGCTTCAACCTCTCTAACATGGTGCTTTGCTTTCAAATTAAAAAGTTACTTGACGTAAATTTCATGTAATTTCAAATTTGTGCCTGAATAAGAGCATTCCTATTTTTAAAAGAAAAAAAAGGAAACCCTGTATAGATATTTCAATATCAAGTATATTTTTTAATCTTTAAAAAAATTAAAATAAATTTCAAAATAATTAAAATAAAAAAATTATCGAAAAGAAATTTGAAGAATGAGTTTAGATAACGACACAACTCCCATAAAAGATTCGCCATTAATTTCAACTCGCCCAGTGTCACGTCGTGGATTAAGGACATCCATTTCAGCCGACATTCCTGGATCTTCAGATTTAACTCTTGCGCCGATCCGAGTTGAAGGAGGCAATTCTGTTCGCGGAATGAGTGCAGCTGGTCGACCACTCTCTTCTGTGCGTATTGGAACTGCTTCACGACTTGCCAGCGCAATGTCAAACCGCACTGGTACTGCGAATCCAATTCGTACAGGAACAGCTTTGAGTAATATCAGCAACATGAAAATAGTGGATAGACCGATAACTCAAATGGGGTTAACTGGTTTACAAACAGGTCAAGGAAGAATTGGAACGGCTGGTGGCACAAGAAAAGTCAAAGATAAACGTTATTGGATCGATCTTATACAATCCAAAATCAAACAAATAGAACAAGAAACGGTAAGACTTATCCAAGAGAAAACAGACATGGATAAAGAAATTTCAACAAAATTAAAACTTGAAAAGAAAGCAAAAGAAGCTGCTAAAGAATTAACAGAATTGCAAGATAAAATGGCTGATCTAAATATAGCATTAGACAGCATTAATTCAGGGATTTCCAGTCAGACATTACAACGTGAGGCGAATGCACTACGTGAGCGTAATGAAAAATTGCAATCTGATCTTGAAAAACTATTTACTGAAAACCAATCAATAGTAGAAGCTAACAAAAAATTGGAAAAGGAGATTGAAATAGCAAAGAAAAAAGTACATGATAAAATTCTTTCTTTACCCGCCCAAGATCAGGCAAGGTATTATGAGACACAAAAATTGGTTGAAAATTTAAGAAAAGAACATATTGATTTGCAAAATGAAATAGAAGCGCTTACACAAAAATATGATTATTTGAATAACTTTATAGTTGAGGATCCAATGCGGGCAGAAGCAGTTCGCTTACATGATAGGTTAGACGAACTTGAAGAGAAATATGAAACCTTAAAAGAGGAACAGGCGAATAAACTTACACCCGAACAAGAACAAGAAAAACTACTTCAAGATTTAAAAGCAAACAATCAAGCTTTAGCAAAAATCAACCATCAGATTAAGTTAAGTGAAAAAGAGTTAAATGATGCAAAAGAAGAACTAAAATTAGTTGAACAAAATCTTGAAGAAGTTAATTCAGGAAAATATGCTAAGTATAAGGAATTAAAACGACGTGATGAAATTATGACTGAATTTTTAAGCAGCTTTCCTGAAGAAATGCAAAAAGAACAGGAAAAATTAGAATCTCTGAAAAATGAAATTGCTTATGCCATTGAAGCTATCACATTAGCAGGAATCGATTTGAAAGATCTTGGTTTAAAAGATAGTGACTTACTTAATGAAAGTAATGACTTGACCACTAAGGGTATGTCATTATATAATCTTAAAAAAATTCCACATTAATAATCAAAAAGAAACCTGATGTTTTCTTAATTTCCAGCTGGAGCAATTAAAGAATACAAGCGTTTGAGCATTCAGCTTAAGCAATTAGAGCTATTAGAGCAAAGAACAAATGCACAGTTAAAACAACTTACAGAAGAAGAACTTAAACTAATGAATGAAATAAGTCATTACAGTAATGTTGACCAATTGAGAAATGAATCTACAGAAAAAATGGAGGCATTGTCAAACAAATTAGAAGAATTATCAAGAAAGGAACGAGTAACTCAAGAAGTTCTTGCAGAAGCTAAAAAGCGTAATCAAGAAATTAAAGAACAGCTTCGTACGAATGAAGTATACAGGGAAATAGCTCATCTTGAAGAAAAACTTTCAGGCTTAGACATTGAAATTAAAACGTTACAAGATATTGTTAAGGAACAAGATAAACAATATGACTACTCCGGTCTGCGAAAAAATGTCGATGATCTTGTCAGTGAAATTAATCAAATCTTAATAAAAACAAATAAAAAAAATATTGTTGAAGAATATTAGCTTTGTAATTTGATATTTCTGTATTGTATGAACATTTCATATTGTATTGTATAAATATTAAAACTGCATGAAATTGTATGGAAATATATTTATGTATTCGTGCACAATTTCTTAATACATATTTATTTGAAATTTAATTAAAACCGAATTAAAATGGAAACACTTGTTTGAATGAGATATCTTAAAAGTATGAAGAGTATAATTCAAACCTGTGTTTTTATTCATTTTTTCAATTTACAGCGTGACGATTTATTAATTATATGAAAAGCGCTAATTTTCCAAAATAAATTTTTGACTAAACACAAGCAAAAAATCATTTTATTTATGAAATTTTTTTTTTTTCTTATTTGAATTAGAAGAAGTAAATTTTATATCGTATCAAGGCAAAAATGAGTAAAACAGGTTCCAGCGGTCCACCAACAGCACCACCACAATACACATATGTCACGCCACCTCAAGCACCACCCAGTTATCAAGAAGGTACTTTAAAAGAAAAATGCTTTTAATATTTTTTGTGTCATTATTTAAGTAAATTATCTGAATTGTAATATGAAAGAATTTTTGTTTAATTGTAATAATTATAATATCGCATTATATTTTAATAACATTCAAAAGCCGTTGGCGGTGTAAAGCCAGTAGGTCAATTCACTCCAGTTGCTCCCGTCAACCAAAATTTGGTAACAACAGTTGTACCAATTGCTCGGAATAGTACACATATGATATGCCCCCATTGTCACGCTGAAATAAATACATCAACTAGAACTGAGCCAGGTTTAATCGCATATTTGTCAGGATTTGTAATTGCTCTGTTGGGGTAAGTTAGAGAATTCAATTTGCATAACAATTGAAAAAAGCTATTTTCAAAAAAAAGTAAAACTTTATGTTTTTAATGCAATATTTTTTATTTCAAGATGTTGGCTTGGCTGTTGTCTAATTCCATGTTGTATTGATGATTGCATGGATGTCCATCATACCTGTCCTAATTGTAAAGCTTACTTGGGCCGTTATCGCAGATAGATAATAAGCAATCTCATCAAGCTTTATATAAAAGCAATTTTTTTGAGTCAAATATATTAAATTTATGTATGTTATTAAATAAGAACTATTCGCACAAAATCGTAAAAAGGAAAACAAAAAACTCTAAATTTTGTACAAACTGATCCATATTTAATTAATAAAGTAAATATTTCGATAGTTAAGAATAAAAAATATTGATACATAGAGATGTGTATTGTGTAACCAATGAAAATTTAAATGAAATTAAATATTTACTTTTTTTTAACTGATGTCTTCGAATCCATTTAAAAATTATATACTAAGTTGAACCTTTTATACAAAATTTTTACAACTTTTTTAGAAGGTTTATTAAAAAAAATTTTAGAAAAATTTATGTAATTTTTTTTTTTTTAAATAAATAATTAATTTGGAAAAAATTATAGATTAAGTTCAAATATTTTTATTTGAAAAAATTATATCAAATACTTATCTAACATTATATCATATTATACTTATTATATCGAATATTTTGAAATCTCATACACAGAGTTTATGATTATTCTTATTAAAGAAAACAAATACGAGAAATACTTGAAGAACGCTTTTATCTTTATATCTACTAATTCATTATGCATCACCAAGGAACAAAACAACATGTTTTTTAATTTATATTGCTCTTTGTTGCTTTTTTCTGTAACTATTTATTTATCTTTTTATTCAAAGCTCAATATTAATAATTATAAAGATTAATCTATTTCTATTAATTCAAAATTAATTTTAGTTTGTAACAATTTAAAATAAAGTTAAAAACTGATATAAAAAAATAAATTTTTGACGATAGCTTTAGAATTGAAGTGCCTTTACTAAAATTTCTATTAAGTATTCTATTCTAAAAGGTCAATTTAACATATCCCTTAAACTAAATTGCACAAAAATACATCTTGTTTTTCTAAATACAAATTTGTATGTTAACTTTTTTTTTACAAAATTTTTACTGGCATAAAAACTATTTAAAATTTATTAGATATGTATTTAAAAACGCAAATATAATTAAATAAATACCTAAATAAAGGTATAAAATTACATTCCTTAAGACAAAATTTTTCCGCTTAGCGAAATATTAATCAGAATATTATTTCTGAATCCAAAAATTTTTTAATTTTGATTTCGAATCTAACATTTTTGTTATTAATTTTTGTATTTTGGAAAACAATATCCAATCTAAAGTAAAATATGAACTGCCGTCCGTTTTCACAAACTTAAAACAATTTGACCTTTACATTTTATTTAAATATTATAGGATTTAACTAAAAATATTCGAAGCTAATAACAATTATTTCATAATTTTTCCGTTTCTAATTTTTTATTATTAAAATTTACTTCTATCTACGAAAAAGCAGATGTTTGTCAATTTGTAAATGATATTACTTAAATAAAATAAATTATTAAAAATACTTTAAATGGATGTGTATCATTTTAGATCTCATTTTAGAATCATATTCTATTTCAAAACTCCGCTACAACTTTAACTTTCCTCTATCACATACTTGTTAAATGTTAAATGAAATTAAATACATACCATTTTTTATTGTAAATACATTGGTACCTCCAAAAATCTAGTAATTTTTTATATTTCAGTTCAAAATGGGCTTAAAATATCTAAAACCTCATAAAATAATAAAAAAGACAATTTTATAGAGCGAACAAGTTCGATATAGCCATTTATATTAAAACATTCATGACATTACAATAAACTTGATGTTTCAACAAAAATCTTAAAATAAAGTGACAAATAAATTTTAACAAAAGTTTATTGTTTAACAGGTGGAGCATCTAAAGATTTTGTTATAGTCTCCTTTGTTTTACTTATAAATTGGCCAAGAAGACAAGGTGCCATATGAATATAGTATATGGTGTTTTTGACACCCTGGTTATAATAATGCTTCAGTAGATAACTTGTTTCGGAACCGGCTGGTAAAGTTGGAAGAGTAAAATTTATATTTTTGGTGGCATTTTTCCAGTGTGGTTTGCATAAATCTTTTACATTATTGTAAATTTTTTCGCTTTCTACCTGAGGGCCCCAAACCCCAATAATTTTCGTATAGTAATACGCACTGTAAATTACTCCCGATTTGATAGTAAAACTAAAAATAAAAAAATGATCAATACGAATTACGTAAACAATTTATACTTTTTTCGATTACCTGATGATACCCATTATAACTTGACGTACTTTTCCAAGATTTAAAAATGTTATAAATATAAATAACTATATAGCCCTTAAATAGAGTTCGAAAAACACTTGGAATTTCACTTTTACTCGAAAACTCGTCACTCCAAAAATCCAAACCTTTAAACTTTTATCCTTATTACCAGCTGATTTTTGTTTAGGAATTTAACATTTAATTTATGTTAAATTAAATGTAAATAACTTCATTCAATTCACCAATCTGCTTTCGATTACAATCATTCAATTTCTAAAAATTTTCACTTTCAAACTATGTAATACATATGTAGTTGAACGAGAAACTTATTAGGTATCTCTGGTTAAAAAAATTTTTAAAAATTTTATAACACTTTAAAAGCTTTGCTAGCAAAGCGTCTTGTATAATACTTTTTGAACAAAAGTGAGAGAAAATGATGACGTTTTCATTTTCCCAATGTTAAAAGTTTTTTCAAGTTTTGTAAAGTAAAATTTAGTTTTAAAAAACTTCTTAATTAAAAATGAAGTAAACAAAATCAAATGATTCACAAATGGATCACACTTTTAAAATCCAAAATCAAAACTTTCGGTTTTTTACATAACTAAAAGATATTTGTTTATGTTTGATAAATGTTTTGAAATTGGAAGTTTATCACCATCATCATTATTTATAAATAGATGATATAAATGCTTTTGTTAATCCACTAGTTAACGAAAGAAATCATTTTTACTCCGAAAAAATTCGGAGTAAAATTTTCCAATTTTAAAAGAACTTAAAATTCATATGAATTAAAAATTTTTATTTAATTTTTGGTGAAATTTGTGGAAATCAAAATCATATAATTTAGGTCTTAAAATAAAACAAAAGCAAATCAATAAAAAATTCCGACATTTTACTATTCGGAATAAAAATTGTTGGGAAATATCAGCATTAACATCTTAGTCACTCTTTTTTTAAGTAGCTTCTAGATGTCAACATGTATAAGCCTGAAACTTTAGCAGCTTTTAAATAATAATAAAAAATTTATTCTGTTCGGAGAAAATCTTTTTCTTTGTCCACTCTTTATCATAGCTATTGTCACACAAAATATGTGATATTTGAAATTTTGGCACTTTATTATTTTCTAAAACTGCAAGCTCCTCAAAATTTCTATATCAATCAGGAAAAATAATTATTTTTAACTCATGCAATTAACCCTTGAATTTGAGCGTTATATTAACACCTCTTTAAATTTTTTATTGCTTTATTTCAAAGATTGCATACTGTGCTCATCTTAAATGCATGAAATCTTTAAAATGTATATTTTGGTGTATGAAAGAAATAACTGACGTTAAATAAAATTTGATTTTTTTAAAAGCAGTATTTTCAACCGTTGCAGGGAATGCAAACCTTGAAATTACAAAAAATCTTGAATTTGTGTCAGCCGTGATGCAAACCATTGTCAACCAATATAACAGTAAGGTCCGAACACCACTTGTTTTGGGAATGTTTGTGTTAAAACTGCGATTGCATTTATTACAAAATGACATTTCTGAATAATCCTTTTTTTTTTTAATTATGATTTTTGACTAAGTATGTATTTTAATTTAGAGTTAGTTTTCTATAAAAAAAAGTTGACTAAAACCAAAGTTTTTAATAACAAGAGCAAAACCTGAAATAATATTATAAATTATTCGTAGTTCTTTGTAAAATGAAATTATGAAAGAAGTAAAAAGCATTAATAAAAATTGTATAAAAAAAAAGTCTCGTTTGGCAGATTCAGTAAAATGTTGTGCAGAAAATTGCAACACAAAGAAAAAAAATGAAAACATAAGATTCTTTAGATTTCCCAAAGAAAAAAATATTTTGAAGAAATGGAAGGAAAATTGTAAAGTAACCGCAGAAATTAACGGATGGATGGTTATTTGTGAAAAACATTTTGAAAAACAATGCTTGGGAAAAAGAAAATTGAAAAAATTTTCAATACCAACACTTTTTTCACATGTAGTTCCTAATAAAAAGCCCTTCTTTTTGGAAAAAGGAAAACGAAAACGTATAAAAAAATGTTGTATTGAAAATTGTTTTTCGAAAAGTTCCATGTTTCGCTTATTTAAATTTCCAGCAGATATAAATAAAAGCCAAAAATGGATTAGGGCTTGTAATTTCGGTATAGAATTTATTACAGCGAATAAATACATTTGTGAAAAACATTTTTTAAGCTCACAACTTAAAAACAAAAAACTTATAAAAGGAGCTATTCCACATATAAATTACAATTATTCCGATTTTCCAGATAACCATGAAGTTTTAAATTGTAAAAGTTTGAATTTTTCTGAATCAAATACTGACTCATTAGCTGTAGTTAAAGCGCCAGATGATAAATTTTATCCTGAAACTACACATTCTGAACACAGTGAATTAAATACCACAGATCTGAAGTATATGGAAACTTCACCGCGGCAAACTGAATCAAGCTATTTGAAAAATTCTCCTTTTAGTAGCAAAAACTGTGAAAGGAAAATTAAAAAGATCAGTTTAATTTACAAAAAATATGGTGTCACTTTAAAGCAATTGCAAAAATGTTACAAAGAAATATCTGAAGTAAAAAACAAATTAAAAAATTTAAAAAAAATACATATTGAAACAACGATTAACGAATTACATTACGTAAGTGAATATCCAAAAGAATTTTGCAAAATGCTTTTATGTGAAAGATATTCAAATATGCAAAGAATGGTCAGCCAAGCACAACTACTACTGGATAACGAAAGACTTAAAATGTAACACTGTCGCCCTAATTCAAAATTAGCTATTTTGAAAAATTAAAAAATTTGTTATTAAAAAATCAGTTTTTGTTTTTTTTTCTATTTGAATTATTTTGATAAATATTTATAATTCTTAAAAAAGTGATTAAAAGCCATAAACTTCCAAAACTTTAAAAATTTTTCTGTGTTTTACTTATTTCAGCCGTGGAATAGCCATGCTTACATAGCAATATATGTATGTATATTCATGCAGTTAAAGGTACTACTATGCAAGTAAATATCAATATGTGCATACAATTAACATATAAATTTTTAAAAGCAAAATAATTACATGCATTATGTATATTTATATATATATGTATAATACATATACAGATATAAACATTTGCCTGCACATTAGTTTGTAACAACATTGTTTATCTATTTTTTACTCCACAATATTTTTTTTTAATTTCTAGCAAAAAGCAAAAATAAAGAAAAAGAATTTTATGATTATTTATTATAACTCCAGTACTGATAACGCAGAGAGTGAATTATTTTTGTTAATGTTTTTACATGTAATAATTTATGTTCTGCCAATATTTGGTCCCCGATTATAAAAATTGAAATTTTTTTCTTTGTTCGTGTTGAACTATCTTAAGTTTTTAGCGTCTTTGCTAAAACCTAACAATATTTATATTGAAATGAAATTTGGAGTTTTCTGAGAAATATATCAAAAATTTAAATTTCAACTCGAAATTTTAAATTTTTTTAATTGAATATATTTTTGGATCCTCTCCGCATTTCTTTTTTTTTGAACGGCCATATCAGGCAACATATTGAGAGTAAAAAATTACAATACACTGAATAAAAAAAATTTGGTGCTATATTTTTTAGTCTATAATACACGACATAAAATAGAGTTGATAACAACATTATTAGATTTTAATTTATTTAATAAAAGCATTATTAGGATTTAAATTTGTAATTATTAGATTTTAAGTTTTAATTATTTTTAAAGTGCTTATGTAGTTTTATAATAATTTTAAAAAAATGCCTCGTTCCAAGTTGTATTATAAAGAAATTTGCATAAGCTTCCAAAGTTCCTGATACGGTAGTTTAGGTAGATCAGTGAATTAGACTTATTAACAATTGTGAACACATTTCCTAACATAACTAAAATATGTATGTGATTTTACCTAAAAAGAATTATATTGCCTTTTAATACATATATGCTATAACTTTTGTGAATTATGAAGCATATCAATTTAATTAATATAGTATACACATGAAAAATATATAGAAATATATGTAATTATATAAGTGTGCATTGTGAGAGACATTTCATACCGAATTAGCAAACTTGTTAAAATCAAATGTACATTTTCTCAAAATTGAAACAATGCACTTCAAAAATAAAATAAAATGCGCTATTTTTTTTTTTCTAGGGTAGCATACATATATTGAAATCTTAAAAAAATGTACTGAGTCTGGAGGGTTTTTTTAAAAGAACTTTTTAATGTTTTAATAGCACAAAACTTAAAGAATGTAAGCACTATACTCTTTATGTAATAGAATAGAAAGATTGATTTTAACTTTTTCTATTTAAAAATTTGAAGAAAGTTGATTTTGTGGAAGATTTATGATGTTAAAAACTATGTGAACTGTCATTTTCTCCCTTGAGGTCCCGACCTAGCTTTTTTGTCACCCGTGATTTGATCCAATTTTATTTCTGACTTTGATGAGAAGGACCATTTATTTGTTGATGTGGATGTAGGATTATAACGTTTTTGCATATCTGCCACGCAGTATATACATACATGTAGAAGTAACCAAAAGGTGATAGAAAAATACTCTTAAGTCCTCGACATACGACATTTTTGGTTCCAAAAATTACTGTCATAACTCGAATGAATTGTGGTTTGAGGAAAAAAAATGTATGGAAACAAAAAGTGAGTTAGAGAAAATTATTTTAAATTATAACTCACCTGCTTTTTAAAAAAAGATAACAAAGTTTAAAAAAACAGCAAAATATAATAATGAAACCAAAAGAATCAATTTTGTAACAAAAATAAATAAAATAAAAAGTTTATATGTATTTCACACTAGTTGGAATTTTTAACTACCGACCAGTATTTTTAACTAGAAAAAGTTCATTATTGAAGTATGTATATATCTAGGCATACCTGTATGTGCTTTAGACTTGCCTTATAACTAAATTCGGTTTAGATTTTTATTTAAAAATCAATGAAATCTATCAAAAAAAAATTAAAAAATTTGTCGCAAGCCGAATAAAAATGGTGCAAATTTATATCATGTCGTAACTCGAAATGTATCTTGAGAACTAAGTGTGATTGTTTTCATTTATTAAGGAATTGAATTTTTATATCTAAAATAAATTAAAAAACTAATTACAACAAATCTGTTCCAAACAATTACATTTAATTTGATCAATCAAAAAACGGTACAGATTTTTTCTCACATAAAAATCATTCATCAAGATGTTAACAGAAAAATAGAAATAGTAAAGAAATTAAAAAATGTATTAACGGAAATTTTAAATTCTTATTGCTATATTTTAGTTTTTTTTTTTATTTTTGTTTAGATTAAAATTTCTTGCTTTTTTTTAATTAAGTCTTAACGTGAATCTTACGTTAAAAATCATACTTTAATTTTTCAATTACAGATTTCAATAAAAACGTTTTTTTTTCTTAATCTTCGTAATCAGACAGCATAAAAAAGTTTCTTGTTTATTATTTAAGTTTTGATTTAATGGGTAATAATTAGGCTTTTGTTGTAACTTCTGGTGCTGTTTCTACTTTAGTAGTTGCCGTGGTGGACGTATCTGATTCACCGGCAGATTTTTTTTTACCCCCTTTTTTCTTTGCACTTTTTTTAGGATCGATTGGCTGACTAAGTAAATTCTTTAATTCTTCTTTTGTAACAGAATGTTCGCTAACATAAAAATCTTCTTCAAATGGTAAACCTGTTACCAAATTGACACCGTTTGGCATTAATAAAACTGTATGTTTGAATTGGGCAACATATTCACCTACAAAAATAAAAGAAAAATTTAGTCTTAACAATTTTTCATTGAACAAATTAATATTTTAAAGAAAAAATTTTTTACATAAAGAAATTAAATAAGATCTCGTAATAAATTGGCAGTTATGATTAGTTCACGCATTAAGCATTTCGCCAAAACGCGCAATAAATGTTATGTATATATGCAGTCGCAAATAAGCAACTATCAGTTTAACAAGAAAAGGTTATTATAAGATTGTTTTATGACAACCATTTAAATAAACAATGAAACATAATGTAATTTAATTAACAATAAAATACATCTCAGTCTAAAATCTTCCATAGCCTTTACCAATTTTTTAAAATTAAATAACTGGCAATTACGTACATACACATACACATTATAATATATTGGATTTCAAGATGTTCAGTTACAAAATATTGTTTAAGAAAGAACTTATATAAATACGTTTTTTCGATAATTTATTTATAGTCTTCCTTCTTATTTCTCTAGCAAGTTTTGAGTCACAAATTTAATCGAAAGTAATACTTGTGATACGTTAACTTGCCATTTCCTTTTACATAAAAATTATTACTACGAGTATTTTAACCTAAATATAAATCAGAAATAGAAGTAAATATAAATCAGATATATTCATGTACGATTGCACATGTGTATGTATGCATGTATTGATGTACTTTTAATTAAGTCCTTATCGGAAACATTAAACTACGATTAAATGCATTTATTGCTTATCTTAAAAATTTCAATAAGTCATAAGTCTTACACGGTAACATAAAATTGCAAATGAAATTTTTATTCATTATTTCAAAATACACTCAATTTCACATTTTCTGTTATTATTTAATCCGAAACTCTGAAACCTAAAGTGACAATTATACATTAGACTAAATCTGCGATTTAATTAATTTAATCAAATTTGATGAGCATTAAGCACACGAGATTATTTTTAAACCTTGGTATCAAACTTTTGACAACAAAGTTTCAAATTGAAAACACGATATCGAAATAAACAAAAACCAGTTGAACGCTGAATTTAGTTTGCGCTACATTATTTTGAAAAATCTAAAATACGTCTGCTGATAACCAGGGTTTTCCACTTTATTGATATATTTGAATATCAGACATCTTTAATCAGACTTAAAGTTCAATCAAATAATAAACTGTTAACTGAAGCCCACATAAAAGTATGTACAGCTACATACATTATGTATGTTTAAAAGCAAACAAACAAAGTTCAAATTTTTTTTGTTACATTAAAAATTTGTATAATGTAATTTAAAAGATTACATGATAAGATCATTTATGCAAAACGTTCTACAGTACCTAGTTTTACACAAATTTATAAATTTGGTTTTACTGACTGCAAATTTTTTAAATCAATACGATAAAACTTTGTATGTTTGAAAGTACAATTTTGGGTGCTATAACTTGTTTTTAAATAATAACCTTGCCGTGTCGTTTGTCGAGAAAAAAAATTATATATTGTTTATGTAAAATAAAAATAAATTAAATTTAATAATTGAAATAAAAAAGCAGAAAAAATTCGTAACGAAAAGAGTTCGGGTTCAATTTATTTTCAAGCAACAATTTAGTTATTTTTAACTTTTGTCATTACCAAATTGAGAAGATCGGAAAATTAGCGGTTTACGGTAAAAATAACATTTATAATAAATAGTGATATTCAGATTTTTTAATTAAGCTTGTTTTGCATTATAATTTTAATAAACTTCAAAAAAGCAAAATGAACTTATGTAAAATATAAAATGAAATTATAAATGAGGATTCTTTAAGGTTATAAATTCTATTGAGCATTATAACTAATTTTTACTAGATTGTTGGATAGATTGTATTCAATTATTAAATTACTTTTCAAATGAATTACGTACTTAAAAACCAACCTATAGGCTTATTATTTTAAAATGATGTATGTTACGTTCCTGTCTAATTTTCTATGTGAACAGTATAGAAAATTTCTGAGAATACGAAAATTGTAAACCAGTAGAGAAAAATATTTGGAAGTTATCAAAAATACTAAGTTAACTGAACTTCCTATTAAATTTTTACAGTAATCAATAGTTGATGTTGTTTTTTGCTGATGTTCAGTGTAGTCTTGCAGTTGAATTGAAAAAAAATTGTTTTACATTATAATCGCAATTCGATATTTCCAACATGGTTTGAAGTATTGTTTTAGAGAGCGCATAAAATAAATATGTGTATTTCATTTCTTTATTTAAAATATGTCTCCCTGCTTATTTCTTTAGCAAGTTTTGAGTCCCAAATTCAATCGAAAATAATATTTGAGATACGTTAACTTGCTGTTTTTCTTAGTCAAAAAGTATTTAATTCATAATTACAAGAATTGTCCAAAAAAAATGTTTTAAACAAGCCGAATTTGCTAAGCTTATTCAAAATTAATCCTTTCATGAATAATATTGCAAGCTTTGAGTCACAAATTTCAAAAGTCGTTTATTATTTGTGATACGTTGACTTGCTGCTGTATATGTATGTACATGAAACTTTGCAAAATACAGCTTCTACAATTAGACACATAAAATACTTTAAAATTGCATATGGTGTTTAATTGAAAGAGCATGAGCAAATAGAATAAGCTTTTAATCTTTACCATAAAAATAGTATAAATAATTTTTGAACTGTTTGAAAAAAGTTATTGTTATCCAATAAATTTTAATCAAGTTTCATTGAATAATAAAAAAAAAATTTTTATAATTTTCATAATTTTACTTTCGCAAGGTGTCTGGTCGTATAAACTAAACAAAAATATATACGAAATTATCCTTGCTACACTAAACTTACATTACTTAATTTAATTAATTCTTACAATGAAAAAAAAAACTAACTTACTTGGCTTTTCATATAATACATGGAAAGCTTCAATCATTTTATGCGAAATACATTCGACAACACCCATTCTAGCTTTTGTTTCTTCTGCAAAGTGTCTAAGATTAAAAGGCATATTGCCATGTTTTGCTTTGACCTTAGTAAAAAATAATTAAAAAAAATAAAAAAAAGAAAATGTTTTATTCACGATTTTAAAGCAAATCACATTTTGTTGTGTAAAAATATAAAACTCAGATCTCATAATCTTAAAATCTCTGGGTACAAAATCAAAAATTTCCTAGCAAGGTTTATGAACGTTTTAAAATTGAGTTTTGTTTTGCTCTAACGAATCAAAAAAAAAATCAAATTTGGACATTTGATTATTTTTTAACTCCTCTTAAGCAAATATGCATGTGTGTGAATTATAAACCATACTTTAATTTTCGAAATTGTTTTCCCTCAATAGCGCTAGTTTATAATCATGGTTTTTTTAAAAATACTTGGTGATAAATTTTATTTTTAATTAACATACCTCAGCCAGTAAAGCTCTTGCATTTTTTAATTTTAATTGATAATTTTCATCGGTTTTCTTATATATAGAAATTTTAGTATCTTTCTCTCTACCCTGAAATAAACATACATTAGATTTATAATTGTTTTGAAATATTTAAATCACATACAATTCCTTCACCAGTACTGACTATAACATCTATTGCATATACTTCATGAGTTTTAAATTCACATTTTTCATGTTCTTTACGTTGAGCTTCATTAGGATTCTGAATTATCGTTTTTTCACCATCAATACGAAATTGTTTAAGTTGGTGACTCAACATTCCTTCAATGGGTTTACATTTATATGAATCGGCAATTTCTTGTACTGCATCAGTAATAGCGTAATTCTTTAATGTGCATAATATTTAAATATACTGTTAATTTCAATTTCAATAATATAATATATTTTTAATATGTATTTATTTCAAAAGCATTTTATTTGTAGAAATTTTTTTATAAATGAAATGTAGATACGTTTAAAGCATACGAATGCTTTACAACTTTTATTTTAAGTAAAAAATCAATTATGAAAACATAAATATTGCAAGTTTTCTTTGTACGCACAATATAAATATTAATTACATGTTTATACTCACATTTGCACCATTTTTTATTATCCTCAAAGCTGCCTGAACCGCCCAATATGCGGCCAGAACTACATCAGCTTTTCGTCCATCTACTTTTTTGTCTGCACTAGCACCAACAACAATCGTATGAGCAGCGACAGCTATAAAGCCGTCTATATGAGCTCCCAAATCGCTATGTAGGATTAAAATAACAAATATAATACAATTGTATGTAATTACAAAATTTTCTACTCACATCTTTACAACATCTCCCTCTTTTAAGGTATAATCGGGATCATTTTTAGTTGGTGAAAAATGACACACGCAATTATTAACTGATAAACATGTTGGAAAAGCGATACCTTTTTTTAAATCTTTTTCTTTTTTAAATACCTGCAAAATAATTAAATTTAATTTATTTTCTGTATGATTTTATAAAAAATATAATGGCGACAAATAAAAATGATATTTAGATTTAAAAATTGCAGATTTTGCAAATTGAGTGTTGCTGATGTGGAAAATAAATGAATTGTCAGCGAAATCATAGAATTAAATTTACTGCCAAATTTATGTAATTACACAATTTGTAAAGTTAAAAGGAATGTGTTATATATGGATACATGCATGTGTCTAACATAAAACCAAAATATTGCTAAAACGTTTTACAAACCTTTCCTGTTTCCTCTAAAAGTAATTCATCACCTTTTGAACAAATTTCCCTTACTGAAGCATCTGCCACGCACAGGCCAATTACTGTTTTCAAAGTTCCTGCAAATGAAAATTTCATTAAACTTTACGTTTTCACACTTTAAAAGTTATTAAACAATAAAGCATGTTTCTTTTTTATCATATTATATTTAAAGGTTATATTAAAAACGAAGCGGGATTGGCCGCGTGGCTAACAATCCCAAACTTTCAATATATGAAGCTACCAGTCACCAAAAAATTTACTTAAATATCATGTAATTTTATACTGACGATTAACGATTTCTCCAGCATTTTTGTATTTTGTGACAACAATATCCTCCGCACAAGTTTTCTCATTAACATCCTTGTCATCAGCCATTTTTTTATATATACAATTTTTTAAATAAAAAAAATCAAAATGAACTTTATAAAAGTAAATTTAACATTAATCGAATCAAGAAAAGAGAGCGGATAATGTCAATGATTATTATGTTGGTATTTAAGAGTAGACAAGAAAAAGAGAAAACATTATACGTAAAATAGTATTGTCAAAAAGGTTAATTAACTTATCACGTTTACATAAAGTTTATCATTAGTTCCAAAAGATATGATTTGAATTGTCAATAAAAATCGGTTCTTGTATTTTATATAAATAAATGTGGAATGATTGCATGAAAACTGCGAGAAAATTGAATTTACCAATTTAGGTTAAACTTTTTGTTAAATTTCAAAACTTAGTTATATTAACTGTAAGAGTGATTTTTCGAATTTGTCTTTTACTTCAGATTAAAATACCATAGTTGTCATATTTTTACTCAATAGAAAAAAGAAACATTTAGTGTATTCTTCAAAAATCTTCTAATCGATAATAATTTTAATCGATAATTTTTATTGAAAATCTAAATCGTATTTTTAAATTTTTAGACTACGCCAATTGAAATTTTATTTCTTTCGTCTTCTACAAATTATTGTAATTACTATATAGTCGTCTAAACTCGATGAGTTGCACTTGGTGAGAAATTATCGTAAAACTTATGCATAATAGTGTGAATGTATGTAATCCGGTTTCATATTGGGATGAGGAAATCGAATGCAACGTAGCGTAATACAGTTTTAGAGAATACAATTTTAAAATATCATTGGTTTTAGAAATTGTTTAAGATTTTGTATAAAATATGATTTAAATATCAGAACCTGACAACTTTTCAAAAAGTTATTTTTAAAAGTTTGAAATACGGAGGAAAAATTGGTATAGGCCAACTTATTAGGATATGCACTACGGCATAGACCAACTTATTCCTCCGTAGTGTATATCCTATTTGTATGGCTACGCGCAGAGTGCACACACTCAATGCACTTACACACCTGTAAATAAATTATTTTGCATAAAAGAAGCGAGTGCTACGTTCAATTTATTTACCTATAAACATGTCCACTGTCATATTATATTTAGGAAAACGGCAGCACTAACATAATTTATTTTTTATTTTTTTATTTTGTCAAAGTATAAAAACAATAATTAAATATTGTAGAAACTAGTGATACATACAAATATAACAACAGAACCGGTATAATTTTTCAACATTTTCTGATAACTTTTTTGAAATCTAGTTCTTAAAGTTTAAAATGGAACCAACAAATTTATGCACAACTGATGATACATCCTACTTATCAAAGAGATGGAGTAACTTACGGAAAATTCTTGAGAGGCCTGGGCCGTTTTGCCATTCCTCTTATGAAGCATCACCTGAGAATTTAGAGTTTCTACAAACTTCCTGCAAAATACTGATTATAGGTAAATTAATTTTTGAATTTTAGAAATTTTTTTTAGAAAAATTTATATGCTAGGTGCTGGCGGTTTAGGATGTGAATTGTTAAAAGATTTAGCTTTGATGGGTTTTCGTGATATTCATGTCATTGATATGGATACTATAGAGTTGTCTAATTTGAATCGTCAATTTTTATTCAGAAGGAAAGACATTGGTTATTCAAAAGCCGAAGTTGCTGCAAAGTTTATAAATTCCAGGCAAATGTTTTAAAATTTTCTCTTTTCCTTTGTTAATTTGATGCTTAAATTTAAGAATTCACGGATGCAAAGTAACAGCTCATTTTTGTAAAATTCAAGATTATGATGAAAATTTTTACAGAAATTTTCATATTGTCGTTTGTGGATTAGATTCAATAGATGCTAGACGATGGATTAACGGAATGTTACTCTCTCTGGTTTGTTATGATGAAAATGGTGCGGTGGATCAATCTACTATTGTTCCAATGGTTGATGGTGGGACTGAGGGTTTCAAAGGGAACGCTCGTGTTATTTTACCCGGCATTACTGCTTGTATTGAATGTACGTTAGATCTTTTCCCTCCTCAAGTAACATATCCACTTTGCACCATTGCAAATACTCCAAGGTTACCGGAACATTGCATTGAATTTGTTAAAATAATACAGTGGGAAAAAGAAAATCCCTTTGGAACAGCATTAGATGGAGACGATCCTGTACACGTCACTTGGGTATACGAAAAAGCTATAGAGAGGGCGAATCAATATAATATCACGGGATTGTCCTACAGGTATTTTGAAAACATTCAATTCAAATGTTGCATTTAATAGTTATTTCAAATAGATTAGTGCATGGTGTTGTCAAAAATATTATACCAGCTGTTGCCAGTACCAATGCAATCATAGCAGCAGCATGCTCTACTGAGGTTTGAAACTGATACATACAAAATGTGTATACCCACCTACATAAAAATTGGATTTTAGGTATTTAAACTTGCAACAAGCTGCTACGACGTTATGAATAATTACATGGTTTTTAATGATCTTGATGGAATTTATACTTATACATACGAAGCTGAGAAAAAAGAAGATTGCTTAGCTTGCAGTAACATCCCAAAAGTTGTAGATGTGGAAGATCCAAATACAATGACCTTAGAAGATTTCATAAAGTTTCTTTGCGAGAGTAATGAGTTTCGAATGAAAAATCCAGGTTAAAATTTATGGATTAAAAATGCAAGTTTTTAGAATATTTTTTCATTCAACAGGTATAACAGCTTTTATAGAAGGGAAAAATAAGACACTATATATGTCCACGGTCAAAAGTATAGAAGAACGAACTCGACCAAATTTAGTATTATCGCTTGGTGAACTAGGACTAAAAGATGGACAAGAACTTATGGTGGCGGATGCGACTAATCCAAATACTATTACTCTAAAACTGAAATATAATGCTAATGACATTGAAATGAAGTCAGATTAAATAATATATGTATGTTTCTACATACATATGTATACAATTTACATGAAAAGCTTGTATACCAAGAATAAATAAATTTATTTTTAAAAGATTATTTTAGATTATTAGACCAGATATTTTCTTATACGCTCACCTTTGATGACAAAAAGTAGACCGTGGAACCAAGGGATATAGCAAAACTGGTTTTAAAAAAAATTATAGGTCCTATATTGCTGACATTTTCTGAACCGTTTTTGCAAGGCATAAATCATTTGTGAAACCTATGCAGAGGTACGACACTTAAGAAATTTTTTTTTGTTATCTTATTACAAATATTAATTAAGGTCTGTACCAAAAAACTAGGAGATACTTAGGACCTTATGATTGGTAAAGAGAATTCCTAGATTAATCTAATAAACATGGAAATTTCAATGCCATTTAAAAAAAAGCCTTTCAAAGTGCCACGTAACTGACTTCAATGCTTTCAATGGCCTTCAGCTAGTTTATTTCGTAAAACATGCTTGATCTTGATATGGCGATTTTGTTTATTTTTTTAATTAAATCAAAAATTCAAAAAGGTTTCGTTTTTATTTTTTACATACATACATATGTACGTTTTGCTAAAAATTTCATTTTAAATTTTATACTTATCCTAAAAATTTTCCACACAATACAACACAACCTAATGTTAAATTTGAAATAAAAAAGTTGATTAAACTTGGAATTAATTATTAAAATACAAATACGTGTTTTACTTCTAAAATTAAACATATTATCAATTTTGGCCCAAGTTTTTTTCAAAACTTTTTAATTAAAAGTAAAATTAAATAGACAAAATTGATTCACAAATGGTTTTTTGCATGTTTCACACTTTAATAATCCAAAATTAAAATTTTCGGTTTTTTTTATAACCGAAAAATATTTGCTTATGTTTGATAAATATATGAAATTTTCCGTTTAGATTGTTCATTTTTAGAAATGAGATTTGTTCTTTTTTGGGAGAAATAAAACAAATAGTCATTGTTTTCTCTTTTTAACGTTTAAATTTTGTACAAGACAAACTTAAAATTAGGTGCGTAGATCACAAAAATAGTAGCAGTACAAACCAGTAGACAAACATGAAACTTTCGCATTTTTCTTAATAACTCAGTCATCTTTTTATTTAATGCCTTATATTTTAAAACAATTTGAAACAAATTAAATCCTCTAACATTCGCACATAGTCATTCCAGAAAGTACAAAGTTTGATATAAGTGGGTCTCCCACAATTTTTTTTTTAAATTGACTAAGGTAACGGCACCACCAATCACATTGATTATGTGATTATAGCATAAAATCTAAGGCACCGTTTTAAAATCAAGCAAAATTGTACGATTTAATTTGAAACGATCAAAATTTAAAGCATATTTGATTACCCTATCCAATCAAACTAAATCCTACAAGAAAAAAAGGATCTTGTCTTATTTTCCATCTAATTTTTTTTTACAGCTGAACGACAGGTACTAAAATTTTCGATGTGTTATAAATGTGATCAGATTTTTATTTTTTTTTTTGGATTTACAACAATAAAAAAACACTGAAGTGAAAATTTGGGGTTGTTATCAATTGGTTGTTATTGACAATTTTTATTTAAAAAAAGGTTATTTTTAGGACAAATTTTTTTCCAAATTTTGGCAAATTGTGTAACGAAATAAAATATTTTATAAAAATTAGCATTGCCAAGTATTGAACTTTAGATACACCGTGCCTTCGATAATGTCGTAAACTTTACAAAGTATTACATTCCAAAAAGTTAAGCAAGAGCTCTTAAAATAAATGCGTTCTATACGTAAAATAAAAGTAAATCGGTTATCGAAAAAGATCGAGCACGCTTTAATAAATGTTATGTAAATGTTGCCAAATATAGCTAATTAAATAAACTAGTATTTATTTTCAGCAATAAATTGCTAGTTATTAAGTTTTTTTCCTAAAACGCTGCATAAAAATGCTATGATTTTAATGATATGGTAACGTTTGTTGAAAATTAACATTTGTACAGAACTTTAAATTGAACTTTTCAAACAAACGTCAAAGTATGTATTAATATTGTAAAAATTGTATTCCAAAATGTAATGTCTTTATATCTAACAAGTCCCAATACTCAATTTTTTTTACGAAATGTTACGAATTTTTGGCCTCGTTGTTGGTTTTTTCTTTAAATGCCACTGATCGTGTCATATTTTTTATTATTTTTTTCTTTTTTTTTACGTAAAAAAGAGATTAATATTTTAAAAAATCTCAGGATATTATACACATTTTTTAAAAAGCTTCCCATTTAAATTATACTGCACGAAAAAGAAAGAAAGGTAGGAGGAAAGAAAAAATGAAAAAAAATTTCAAATTCATATTTCAGTATGGTTTCAAATGTTAATGAGGAAGGATGTATGATTTTTTATGCACATTTTGTATTTCCCAATAAGGTAAGTTGAGTAGTGTCGGCTAACAAAAATGTTATTAAAAGTAATATAGGTTGACACATTTCAACAATTTGAATTATCTCATTTCGATTATTCATACGTTACTTATAAAATTGTTTCAAATAATTTCAGTTAGTTTTTAAGTTATTAAAAATAAATATGTATGTACCTACTTCCAATAAATTTTTTTTAAAATAATTATTTTAAAACTATTTCAAACATGTTATATTGAGTGCTTCAAAAATTTTGCTGTGCTCTTCTTTCATATTTTATTAGCAGGTAAACAAGAGCAATCTATTTATAAAATGTTCCTGCATGTGTATGTATGACCTATCTTAATTCTAAATGGAAAGAATTTTAAAATACCTGAACAAAAATTTTAAAATACCTGTTATTTTACAGTCGGAATTTTCGAGTCATTTGGTAAAATACCATTTATTTCAAAAATAGAAAAATATTCAAATCCGGTCATAAAAATATATGATTGTTTTTTCCAAACATTTTAAATATTTTTTTTTTCTTAGGTAATTGATATAAATGATAGTAAGTTTTTAATATTTTTTCAAATAAAAATAGAGGTAAAATTTTGAAGTTTATATAAAATTTGTATTTAACAAATAATATTTGATTGTATTTTAGATATTATTTTCTAATTCCCTCTTCAAATTTTTTCTTTACTATGTATTTATATCAATATTTAAGAATTATCTTTCATTAATTATATTTTCAACTTGACACCACAGGTACTTCCCATATCTTGCGTTAACTTACCCTATGAGAAAAAAAAGCTGTTCACTTAAAAATAATGAAATGCTTTCAGTAACAAATAAAACGTTGAAGGCGAAGGTTGTGTTTGTTGTTTTTCCGCTTTTTTTTAAATTTTAAAATAATTATCAATGAAAATATTAATATATTTTTTTGATTTTTCAAATATATGTTCTAAATTTTACCTGCTTTATAATAAGTGTGAATTTATTTTAATATTTCTTCTCAAAAAATAGCCACTTCGATTTAAAAAAGGCCATATAAAATAAGGTGTGCTTTCAAGTTTCTCTCTGAGCATTGGGACTTGTTAGATATAAAGACATTACCAAAATGTATCAAAAGTTTCAGCAATTTTTTTTTACAATGTAAAGGTATTGAAAGCTATAAGACGGTAATCGTATTAACACTGTACTTAAACTTTTTATAAAGCATTATTGAAGTAACGAATACCCTAGCAGCCACAATCAAAACCAAATGTTGTGAAGATTTGAGTATTTTTGTTTTTAATAAAACACACAGTTATAATAAAATTTTAACAATTTTGTATGAACATTCCAAAACGAATATGTATAACAATATGGTCTAAACTGGCAACAACTTTTTATGTTGTAGAATATAAATCATATTATTCATAATATTATGTAATTTTATTATTCATTATATTATTTACTTTAATAATTAAAAGAAATATTTGTTCAATAGCGTTAAATATAATTCAAAATTCGTAAATTTATTGAGTTTTTAAATAAAAATTAAATGATCGCTGTCTTAAACTCCCGCAATAAAGCAATTATCGCTATATTACTTTTATAAAATCTGAATAATTTCTATCATTTTCCGTCAGACAAAGTCTGATGTCATAAATAAAAACCGAAGAATAAAATGTGTTTACATATACTGCTTTTATTTATCAAACTTAATTAATCTCAAATTTTGTCGTTTATGTAAACGAATCTTATAGATTCCGTTTTCGTGTTGGCAAAAGTGTTAAAAGGATATTACAGTAGCACCAACGTATTGAAACGAGAATATGATTTAAAGACGCGTGCGGCGTGTTAGATTGAATCTATTTTTAATTTGCCTCCATATTTTGTTCCATCCGGTTGTGATTTGTGAAGCATTTGCAAATACAAATTTTAACCGGATTTAATAAAAGTTTTCAAATTTTAATTTATTAAATACTCGTATGATCGACTAATTGCAGAGTAAGTTTATATGTATATATATATATATATGCATTTGGGAATTTATCAAGAGTTGTGTTAAATATAACTTATTCGATTTGAAGTGAAGCAAGCCATGAATAATTAAGATTACAAAAAGGCCATGTATTTATATAATTTAACTTTGCAACGTGGTACTGGTATTACACATGCAGTACATGGAAGTTTCTCAGGTTCCAAAACTCAAGAAATCCTTATATCACGTGGGAAGAGTTTGGAACTGTTGCGTCCAGATCCGAACACAGGGAAAGTTCATACTGTACTCACAGTTGAAATATTTGGATGTGTTAGAGCACTCATGTCTTTTCGTTTAACAGGAGGAACCAAAGGTGAGTAGTATTACAAACTATAAGGATACATTATAAGTATATTCCACGTACATACTTTATTAGTAAGTAAATTACATATGCATGAAATGAAGTCACGTGGACTTTTAGGTTAGAAAATTTGGCATAATGTGGTACTAAATCTCTCCTAGTTTAATTGAAGAGGTTTTTAAACTTAAAATATTGTGCCATATTGATTCTTTCTGTCGCGTTTGATAGTATAACATTTTTATCAAACTGTATATGAAAGAAACAAAAAAAATTATATGTACAATTTTTTTTTTTTTTAGCTACAATACAATTTTTATTACAAGTTCAAAGTTTTGCAGATATAAGCGCAGGTATAAAAGAAAATCTGTTAAGAGTTTTTCGGAAAAGTTCTTTTATTGATTGTTAATAGAATTATGAAATTTTGTAATAGTCTTAACTATTTTTTGTTCAACATGTAGTGACCAAGAATATCAAAATTTTTAAATGATTTAAAACTTAAAATTTTGTTCGAAATGTTCATTTGGTTTATGCAATACTATAGTTATATCCAAAAAGAAGTAAATTTATCCTAGAAAAATCTTATTCTGTAATGTTGTTTGATAACTTTAAATTTGACAAAAAATTTTCATGAAGCTTCATTTTATTTTTTTCTTTTTTAAGACTATGCTGTTGTCGGCTCTGATTCAGGTCGTATAGTAATACTAGAATATAATCCAGTGAAGAATTCGTTAGACAAAGTTCACCAAGAAACGTTCGGAAAGTCAGGCTGTAGACGAATTGTCCCTGGTCAATATTTTGCCATAGATCCAAAAGGAAGAGCTGTAATGATAGGTGCGGTTGAAAAACAAAAATTGGCTTATATATTGAATAGAGATGCAGAGACTCGCTTAACAATATCATCTCCATTAGAAGCTCATAAATCAAATACCTTTTGTTATCATATGGTTGGAGTTGATGTTGGTTTTGAAAATCCAATGTTTGCTTGCTTAGAAATTGACTATGAAGAAGCTGATAATGATCACACAGGTAAGAAATTTAAAAAACAAAAGGTTAATTTATAACTCTAAACATGAAATCAATAAACACTATAAAGAGTGAAATATTTAAAATTTAGCAGCATTAAAAATGTTTCTAGCGTATTTAAATATGCCTTTAAACAATTATAAATGTTGCTATAATAAAGTGAAGTCTTTTTGAACCATTGAAATTTGTATGTACAATGACAAATTTTTCACTGAGCTAAAGTCTACAAATTTTCTGTATTTACATTCTACCTACATATGTTTGAAATAAATTTTAAAAAATTTTAGTGAATTGGTGATTCATAAATTAATTTTCTATTATTTTTGGCGATATTTAGGAGAAATAGCAAAAAAAACATCGCAAACTCTCACATTTTATGAGCTTGATTTGGGTTTGAATCATGTTGTAAGAAAGTATTCTGAACCGTTGGAAGAACATGCCAATATTCTAATATCGGTGCCAGGAGGAAATGATGGCCCCTCAGGAGTTCTAATATGCTCGGAGAATTATTTGACGTATAAAAATTTGGGAGACCAACACGATATACGATGCCCAATTCCTCGACGAAGAAATGATCTTGATGATCCTGAAAGAGGCATGATATTTATATGCTCAGCTACACATAGGACAAAAAGTATGTTCTTCTTTTTGTTACAAACAGAACAAGGTGATATTTTTAAAGTAACTCTGGAAACTGATGATGACATAGTTACTGAAATAAAATTAAAATATTTTGACACCGTCCCACCAGCTGCAGCACTTTGTGTCTTAAAAACTGGCTTTCTCTTTGTTGCTTCTGAATTTGGCAATCAGTAAGTACATATTAAATAACTTTAACCAAATATTGAATTCTGATTTATTATGATGATTCCCTAAGGAACCAATGACTATTTTGATTAAAATATAACTAAATTTCTGAAAATTGATTCTTATAAAAATAATTTCGTAATATTTAAAACTTACCAAAAAGAAATAATTAATAACTTTATTTTTAGTTACCTCTATCAAATTGCTCATCTTGGAGATGATGATGATGAACCTGAATTCAGTTCTGCTATGCCTTTGGAAGAGGGTGATACATTTTTTTTTGCGCCCAGACCTTTAAAAAATTTAGTTATGGTCGATGAGCTACATTCATATGCTCCAATAATATCATCAACTGTTGCTGATCTAGCTAATGAAGATACTCCACAAGTATACTTAATGTGCGGAAGAGGTCCAAGATCATCTCTAAGAGTTCTACGACATGGTTTAGAAGTTTCTGAAATGGCTGTATCTGAATTGCCGGGTAATCCGAATGCGGTATGGACTGTAAAGAGAAGATCTGATGGTTAGTATTATTTTTATAATTTTATTTTTATTTGTTTTCATTATATTTTTTCATTAAAAAACATTACATAGGTCAAAATATATATTCCGCTTATTTATATTTCGAAATATGGATTACGTTTTTAATAATAACTATTAAGAATAAAAAAAATTCAAACTGTTTTAAAAAGAATAGTTCTCTGAAGATTAAATATTTTTTCAATGAGGTGATGCTTAAATTCTTGTTTTAATTTGAGAATCTATTTTACTATTAATGAGCTTCAAAAAAGAGAAGTTCATTAATACAAACCATTAATAATTTTACTTTGTAAAAATCCTGTTACAGATAATTTCTATTTAATTATTCTATTTAAATTTCAAACAATAGAATTTTCGTTTTTATTTCAGAGCGCAAAGGGTTTGTAAAAACCCCGTTGGATGGAATATCAATGAAAATAAAATTATACACATTCACAATGAATATGATAATTTTTATTATAATTTAATGATATTCTATTTATTATTAAAATTTGGTTTAGGTAAGCGTTTATATAAAAATTATTTCAAAGAAAATTATAAAATAATATAAGTAATTGGTTTTATAAATATAATCTGTACTAATTTATTAGGGTATTTAAAGAAATCTTTTTTATCAATGTTGAAGCATTCAAAATACTTTTAAGTGTTCAGTGAATTTTAAACAGTATTTTATTTGTAATTGAATTTTTTTGATATATTTGCAGCACAATGTTTGCTGTAATATAAGAATTATTCACTAAAATGTGGTGTTATTTCCTAAATCTTCCGTTTTCCTATTTTGCAAGGTGTTTTTCGACAATGAGAAAAATAAAAGAAAACACAATATACATATTTGTGATATCGTGTGTAGTTTGTGTAAAATAATAAATGCAAAATCAGTTTTATTCAACAAAAAAAAATTTTCTTATATATTTACTTGCTTTTTATATATATTTTTTATAGTACATTGATTCAAAAATGAAATTGATCTGAAATTTGGTAACAGAAACCAACTTTTTCAGAAAGCACAAAATGTTTTTGTATGCAAAACTAAATTAAAAATAGGAATAATATAATTTTTTCTAACTTAAATTTAAAAATTAGGATCTTTGTTTGTATGATGTTATCAATAAAAAATGTATTTATAGTTATTTTTTATACTCTGAATGAATTAAAAAAAAACTAAATGAAATGTACTTTAATTACATTTTGTTGCAGATGAATTTGATGCTTATATTATTGTATCTTTCGTAAATGCAACTCTTGTCCTAAGCATTGGTGAAACTGTTGAAGAAGTGACAGATTCTGGGTTCTTAGGCACTACGCCTACACTTAGTTGCTCAGCTTTAGGCGATGATGCACTTGTTCAAGTATATCCAGACGGCATAAGGCATATTAGAGCTGATAAGCGAGTTAACGAATGGAAAGCTCCTGGAAAAAAGTCAATCACTAAATGTGCTGTCAATCAACGTCAGGTTGTAATAGCACTCTCTGGACGTGAATTAGTTTACTTCGAAATGGATCTTGTAAGTTTTGTAGAGAAAATTTAAATTTATGATAAAACTTGAAATTAAAAAGAAGTAATTGTATAAAAATGAAAAATGAGAAAAAAAAAATGTTCACCATATTATTTTCGGTTTCCTATTATTGCAAAATTGTAAAAATAAAAATATAATTATCGTATTAGTTTTAATATTAATATATTACTTTTATTGAATGTAAAGTTTAACCAAAAATGTTATTTTGATGACAAAACACGAAAACTGATTGTTAGTGAAGTGGCACATTTGTGTCCTGCAGTACTGAATTTTTATTTTAAAATATTTTGGTTTTGCCTAAAATTAATTTATATTAAGTAACGAACTTTATTTTTACAGACTGGGGAGCTTAATGAGTACACAGAAAGAAAAGAAATGCCAGCTGAAGTTATGTGTATGGCATTAGGAACTGTTCCTCCTGGGGAACAAAGATGTTGGTTTTTAGCTGTTGGGCTTGCTGATAATACCGTACGGATTATTTCATTAGACCCTCAAGATTGTTTGGCCCCACGTTCAATGCAAGCCTTACCCTCACCTGCTGAATCACTTTGTTTAGTTGAAATGGGTAGTGCAGAAGCTTCCGATGAAGGAGCTCCTCAGAAAACTGGGTCAATATATCTTAATATAGGATTAAGTAATGGTGTACTTCTCCGAACGGTTTTGGATCCTGTTTCAGGAGATCTTGCAGATACAAGAACGCGCTATTTAGGTTCCCGTGCTGTAAAATTATTTAGAATTAGAATGCAAGGTTCGGAAGCCGTTTTAGCTATGTCTAGTAGAACATGGCTTTCATATTATTATCAGAATAGATTTCATTTGACACCACTATCTTATGAGAGTCTTGAATATGCATCAGGTTTCTCAAGTGAACAATGTAACGAAGGCATAGTTGCAATTTCTACTAATACTCTAAGAATTTTGGCCCTTGAAAAATTAGGTGCTGTGTTTAATCAAATAACATTCCCTCTAGAATATACTCCAAGACGTTTTGTAATTCATAATGACACTGGAAGGATGGTGATAGCAGAGACGGATCATAACGCTTACACTGAACAAACTAAAAATGCAAAAAAAAAGCAAATGGCAGATGAAATGCGTGAGGCTGCTGCAGAAGAAGAAAAAGAATTAGCGAATGAAATGGCAGACGCCTTTATAAATGAAGACTTGCCGGAAGACACATTTTCGGCCCCAAAAGCCGGTACCGCTATGTGGGCATCACAGTTACGTATAATGGATCCTATTCATGGTCATGTTATCAATAAAGTTCAATTACAACAAAATGATGCAATAATATGCATGGCCATCGTAAAATTTTCCGTAGCTAACGATGGGAGATACTATTTAGCAGTTGGTGTAGCAAAAGATTTGCAACTAAATCCTAGAGTTTCCAAAGGGGGTGCAATCGATATTTATAGAATAGATCCTACTTGCACTCATTTAGAATACATACATAGAACTGAAATTGAAGACATTCCTGGAGCTTTACATGGCTTTCAGGGTAGACTATTAGCTGGCGTTGGAAAGATTTTAAGAATTTATGATTTGGGGAAAAAAAAACTGTTACGTAAATGCGAAAATAAACACATACCTTATCAAATAGTCAATATAAATGCAATGGGTCATCGTATATATGTTTCAGATGTTCAAGAATCAGTGTTCTTCATAAGATATAAACGCCAAGAGAATCAGTTGATTATATTTGCTGATGATACTCACCCAAGATGGGTAACAGCAACATGTCTATTAGATTACGATACGATAGCAACAGCTGATAAATTTGGTAATATTGCGATTTTGCGACTACCACATTCTGTTACAGATGATGTTGACGAAGATCCAACTGGTACTAAATCCCTGTGGGATCGAGGATTATTAAGTGGTGCCTCACAAAAAGCGGAAAATGTGTGTACTTTTCATGTAGGGGAAACAGTAATGTCATTACAAAGAGCAACGTTAATACCTGGAGGAGGTGAATCTTTAATATATTCAACGCTTAGTGGAACTGTTGGTGCTTTGGTTCCTTTCACCAGTAGAGAAGACTTTGATTTTTTTCAACATTTGGAAATGCATATGAGAAACGAACACCCTCCACTATGTGGACGAGATCATTTAAGTTATAGAAGTGCTTACTATCCATGCAAAGTATTATTTCGACATCGTTTAAATTTCGAATTTTACCTATTTTTTTTTTTTTATATCGCAGAACGTTATGGATGGTGACTTATGTGAACAGTTTACATCTATTGATCCTGTCAAACAAAAAAACATTGCAAATGATCTTGGTCGAACACCTAATGAAGTTGCTAAAAAACTTGAAGATATAAGGACTAGATACGCCTTTTAATTAGAACGCTTTTATTATTTTGTAAATAGTGTAAGTTGCAACTTTGTAAAGCATTAATTGTTGATAAAATATGATGATTTAATTACACATGTTAGACTAACGAATGTACTTTGATTAAAATTATAAAACTGATATACTTGCAAAAAGTAATATCAAAATTTATTTGTATACATAACCTTACATTAATATTTATTTTCTTTTTTCCATTTTTTATAGTTTTTTGGACCAACGTATTTAATTTAAACTAGTATTTAAAAGAAAATTAAAGGTACGTTTAAATTTGAGATTCTACTTTAACAATTTGGTTTTAATGACGGAATACTTAAAATTTTTTATAGACTTCAAGAAATGAAAAACATGGAAGAAATATGAGGTAAATTAATAATTGACTATTTTTGGATTTTTATTTAATATCTGCAATGATGTTATTTAGATCCGTGTTTCAACTGAAATAATTTGATTATATTGTAATCTAGCTGATATTTTATATAAAAAATAATAAATTTAAACTTGGAAAAATTAGTTAAACCAAAATTTTTTTTTTATTTTAATTTTTGGCAGATTGAAGTATCCACATAAAATTTCAATTGGATCACTAAAAAAATGTATCATAAACATTGAGGTAAGAAAAATACAACTTACTATAACTTAAAATATTTTTTTAAATGATGACTATTTATTGTACCTTGGGACACCTATGAATGTTCTTGATTAGTGTACTTTTTTTACTGAACAAAGTAATTTTTTCTTAATTTTTAACTTAAGCTTAAGTTCAATTAATTAATGACAGACCCTTTTTTTTTATTTTCCAGATTATTTCTTTTCAAGACTATTTGAAATTTCAAAAACACTTAGCGAAAATGTTTTTAACAGGTAGGATTTCTAGTTTTAATAAAATATTAATTTGATTGAAATAAATGATGATATTGCATATATACACATGTTAGACTAACGAATTTGAATTGATTAAAATAAATTTAGAACTGAACAAATTAAAAAGTAGTAATTTGTTTTCTTTTGTTTTTGCATAAAATTTTAATGTTATTTATTTCTATTTTCAGAAATCGAACGTTTTATGAACACAACCACGCGGAATAGACTGCTCATTTTGAATGTAAGGAAATCAGGCTAATTAACTGATTTTATTCTAATTACCTACCTTAATTAGTAATTTATATTTAACTAAATTATTGAAAGTATTAGGAAATATGTATAGTATGTAATAACCCTATGTAAATTTAGTACAAGTAAATAAAAATATAATAAACGGAAATACCTATGTATTATATGAAAAAAATTATTATTTTGTAAATAAATAAAAAATTCAAAAGATTATACATTTTTTTATTAATCTAAATAAAATAAAGATATTGAATCTGTAATTAATCAATATACCCAAAATTGACAATTGATCATTTTATAAAAACAAAACTAAAGCTATTTTCTTGATATAAGTTTAAATTTTTGTTTATAATATATGAACCAAAACTAAAAATTAACTGTATTGACTTATCAAGTTCAATCGTCATTTTTTCTGAAACTGCTAAAATCAAAAGTAGGCAATTCCAACGGTGGTAAATCTACATCTAAATCTTCATATATTTGTAAATGCTTAGTATCTCCAATCTCTTTTTGACAAGTATCAAATTGTTCTACATTTTCTTTATTACTAATTTTGTAAATGTTTGATTTATTAGAATATCGAGCATCAAAATCTTGAATTGTTCTATCTATTACTAATTTTAGTTCACTTGAATTCGTAACAAGATTTTCTGAATTTATATATTCTACAGCTTCTTCACCAACGGAAATTTTTTGATCATTTGGTGAATTTTTGTGACCTTCATAATACAATTTCTGCAATTTTATACGTTCCACCTGTCTCTTATATTCATTGTCTAAAACTTCAACAACTTTTAGAGCTGAAGAAATCTTTACATCAACATGGGCTTTTGCAATACATTGTAGTGCTTCTTCCAAAGATAAAATAGCTTCATCAAATCTATTGTGTCTTAAATGTCTATCAGCACGCCTTTGATAAAAAGCGGCCTGAAATATTCATATACACAAATAAATAATAAAGCACGGTTGATGGTATGTATTTAAAAAAGGCAAGGATAACTTACCATATATAATGGGGTATTTTCCATTTTTATATAAAAAAAACTTTAAAAATGTAAACAAAACCTTATGATTTGTATATACATACATATGTCACAGAATGACACTTTTTAATTTTAACAACACGGCTGACAGAAATACTTTGTTATATCCGTAAGCATATAACAAAGTTATAGATATTTTTGTTATGTCAACCATTCTGGCGAAATCCCAAGTAGCATTAACTTATTAATTTTTCTTACAAATTGAACACGTCAATTTCTAAACGGATATTTTTTATGAACTTCAACAATTTAATTGAACAGAAATAAGTCTAGTTCTAGTATGTTTGAACAAATGACACGTTTTTAAAAAATAAATGATCATATAATAAACAAAAAAATTTAACTTAATTTAGTTGAAGAAAAATGTGTTCTTGCTTGAGTTCACGTTTTCAATTCTAAGTTAGAGATTAAAATATAGTCCGTTTTTGTTACTGCCTAGTTTGTAGTTCTGCGAAAGTTTTGTCACAGAATTTGCAGCAAAAAATTAATACTGTGTAAATTGCCTGTAAATGTGAATACTGGGTAGTATGGAGTTAATATAAGGTATCCAAAACTTAAAACAGGGTGGTACTTCCGAAACAGGGTGATTGAATGTGTACTGGCGAACTAACCACACACAGTGACATTTTCCTTTTCTTTTCCAGTTTTAAGGGCTCAAAGTTTACATTTCTTCAACTGTATAATTTTCAAACGGTTGCTGATAACTCAGGAAATGCGACAGGCGAAACCAACTTAGAACACTCATTTTAAAGCTCATGGGTACCTTTTTTGAATACTCATCTTAAAGCTCAGGAGTACCATTGTTTTTGAGGACCTTTTTAGTTTTATGGAACTTGAAACTTTGCAGTGAAAGCCCTTTTATATTGTATTAAAGTTACACATTTCTTTGAAATTTTAATCATAGGCTTGAATGTATCTATGTATATACATACATATGTACCTTTATATTCTAGTAACTAGTTTCACATACAAAAAGCACAATGCACTCACAAAAATACCTTTGTGCGTAGCAAGATATTCAAACTTTTATAATTAAACAGCTTGAACTGGTAAAGAAATTTTGAAATGTTCAGTTCACAGCTTGAAAAATGCGTTGCTATGATAACGCATGAGGGGAATCAAGCGAAACAAACTTTTTACTAGGTAAATAAATAAATATTATGTACAAAAGACCAACCTAATTATTAAAATGTAAAATTAAATTTAAAAAATATGGAAAATTTACAAATTTTTTTAAATTTGGATATAAAAGACATAGATGAAGAAAGGCAAAATGAATTGTATAAAACGTTAATAGAGTCTGATGTGAATAGTCATCCCAAAAAGTATTTGCGGAAAACCTTACAACTTGCATTAGCCAGCCTCAAATTTAAAGGGAAAGAAGTTAGTTTAAATTCGTAACAAAATATAATAACTGATACAAAATATAAACTATATATGTACATAGTATGTTTTACCTACCCACTAAATACATATATAAATTAATATTTGCATTAAATTTATACTAACTTTGGTAGTTATTAATAAAATAATTTAATATATTGTAAAATATTTCAGGTAGATTTCCTTAAAGAACAACTAGAAATTAAGTCTGCAGGTGGTACGTTTTAGATAATATTTTATATTAAAATTAAATTGCAATATTTTAAAAAATTATGTTTATGTTTATGCAGCAATTTTAATAAAGTGTGCTTTGTTAACAATATATAATCTTATTTAAGATGAATCTGGAAATGATGCGCTTATAGAAGAAATAGAACGGTTAAAATTTCTAATTGGAAAGTTGGAGTCAGAAAAGTCCTCATTAAAGATAAAACTTGAAGATATGAATGAAGAAATGACCATTTTACAAAGTCGTATCCACGAAATTTCAATTAATGAAAGTGATAGAGATTCGAATGACCCTTTGTCGGAATTAGATAAACAAGAAGAACTTTTGAAGAAAATTAGTACAAAAAATAAACACATTAAAAGGTTGATACGTGATATCGAGGTAAAGCTTAATTTTGAAGATTTATCTTGTTTAAAATTAATTTGTATGTGAAAACTTTTTTTAGTTACTTCAAATGCAAAATATTGAACAATCTAAAATTATAATTGAAAAAGAGCAAAATGCACAAACAATTGCTTCCGAAAAAATAGAATTACAAAGTCAACTCTCAGTTTGTGAATATGAAAAAAACCAATTGAATGAGCATATAAAAGAATTAACTTTAGAAATTACTAGACTGGAAAACAACTTAACATATTTGGAAGAAGAACGAGAAAGGGCTGATTTTGAATTAAAAGATTTCATTGAGAAGTTAGAAGAAAGGGCACGAGCTTGGAGAAAACTAATAGATGAAAAGGAGAAACAATTAGATTCTATAAAACAAAAATACGAATTACTTAGAAGTGAAAATCCAAAAAAACTAAATAATGCAGAACAAGAGCATGAACTCGAAAAGCTGGTTGAGGTTGGTGCATGCATTTGCTTATATATGCACAATAAAATTCTTATATGTATATTCAACTAGAAAAAAGTTTTACTGCCGTTTTTAATTTTAATTTACTAGGCAATTCAAGAACGTGATGGAGTTATAGAAGAATTAGAACAAAAAATTAAAAATATGGCTGAAGAAATGATATCTTCAACTAAATTAATGAATCAAATATCTGCCGAAAGGGAGGCAGAGAAAATTAAAGATGCAAAAAAAAATCGAATATGTTGTAAAACCACACAAAATTCGTTAAATTTATTACAAGAACGTTATAAAGAACTTTCTGAAATGATGGAAAAAGTCGAAGAAGACAACATTTTGAAGTCTAAACAAACCGCATCAGTTCTTAAGTCCTTGGGAGATTTGCAAAATGGTGACGACGTTATTGGGAATTCTTTACGAAAAATATCTCATCTTGAACGTAAATTAGAATCGAGAGATAAACAAATCAAAGCATTAATAATGGAAATTAACTCATTACATGAACTATCACAAGAAAATTCGGTTTTAAGAAAGAGATTACATATTTCTGAAGATGAAATAATTTTAACTAGCAATTTAGCAGCAAAACAGCGCAATAAAGAGAAAGTAATGGAACGTTTAACATTAAAGTTTAGGGCATCTGAAGAAATGAGGCTTCAATTAAAATTAGAAAAAACTGAATTGAAGTGAACATATTAGTTACATTTTTGTTTTTAAATAAATTGATCTGTTGGTTTTTAATTTTAGAAAAGAAATATTGGACCTTAAAAAGAAATTGAACGATGTGAAGAATTCAAATAACTTGCATGTAGATGAAGGATTTGTCGAAAATAAAAAGGACACCAATGAAATTCGAAAAGAAATTTATTGCGACAATTGCTTAAAAAATATCCAAGTAAAAATAAAATTAGAGTCAAAGTTTATTTTTTTTTTTTAATTTTTTGCAATTACAGATTAATCTCTGTATTTTATAATTCTTCTTTTTTATTTGGTTAATTCAACTATTTTTTACAATTTTGCAACGCATATACATATCATTTTGATTAGTCACTGATTTTATTTTTTAGTAGTACATATTATGTATACACTAATTTTTGTACATGCATAATGACTTATTTCTCAAATTTTTATCAATCATCATCGTTATAGTCAATCATCATCTTTACAACTTGATACTGATTTATTTTTTGATTTTTTAAGAAACTCAATTCACTGTTAAAACAATTACTATTATTCTTTCTTATACAAGTATGAACTACAATATCATTAACTAGTTTTCAACAAATTAAATACTTAGATTTTCAGATTTTTTCATTTTTTGGTTTTCTAAATTTTTTTTCGAATATGATCACTGTCTTTGCAGTCTATACCTAATCAAGAAAATATTATGAATGACGTTATTAAAGAATGGGAGAATAAATACTCGGAAGTAATTGAAGAAAATGAAAACCTTCGAGTAGGAATGCATGAAATATTAGAAAAAATTCGTGACTATGACGGTAAATGAAAACTTTTGCTATGTACATATTTTCTTTTTTTATTTTAAAACCCATATTTAACAAATCAAATTCAACTTAATCAATTCTTAAGCGTCATCTGACCATATAACAATTGACTGTAGTATATTGGAAAGAGTATTACATGCTTTGGATGCGCGTAGTATTAGCGGATGGTATCATCCGGCCATGAGAATTCAAAATGAATTAATTGCAGTAAAGGAAAGGGAGTATGCTCTTAAAGAGAAAATTCAGTATGTTGAAAAAGCAGTAAAAACCGTTGTCGGAGGAAAAATAGAAGAAAAAATAAAATTGTCAGATAAAGAGCAATCTTCAATCGAACACGCACCAAGTGAGACTCGTGAAATCATTGCTGAATTACCTTCAAATACTAAGGAGGAACTGCTTGAAATGAATATTGATGAAGAAGAATTGGGCGAAATTTCGTGTTTGAATAACCAAATTGAAAAAACTATTGAGTCGGAAAAATCAACTGAAAGTATTAAAAAACAACCAACTGATTTTCTTACAATGGTAGTTGAAAGATCTTTTGAACAAGAAACCTATAAAAAAGAATTAGGAAAACTAATTGATAAAAACCGTAATCTACAATTAGAGATTGAAGCTTTAAGAACTTATAAAATTCAGTTTCTTGAAATGTTGGAAGAAATGAAAAAATCTGAAAAAGAAATTGTTGGTTATTGTTCATCTATAGTAGAACGCAGCACCGATTCAGAATTAAAATTAAAAAATTGTATAAAAAAGTATGAGTTTTTAAAAGAGGATTTTGATAAAACCCTGACCGATTTTAAATTTTCTGAAAATATTAATATTTCATTGATTTCGGACTTAAAAAAACAAATCAATAATAAAAAACATGAAATCAATTTAATTAAGTTAGTTGAAAATAAACGGAAACTATCCCATGTACCTAAAGATGAAATTTTAGTTTTAAAAAAGAAGTACACCGAAATTTCAAATCAATTAGCTATTTTAATGTCAACCTTTTTTAAAGACAATGAAGGTCGAAGCTTGATTGGAGGAATAAGTATTAATATGGGTATAATAAAAGATGATATGCAATTAGATTTTATAACATGGGAGGAATTTGAAAATTTAAAAAACTATAATAAAATATTGCAAGAAGATAATAACAATTTAAAGTTGAATTGTAAACAACTAGAAGAAAATATAATAATTAACCAAGAACAGGTAAGAGCACAAAAAATGAGTTTCAAATTAATCAGAGACATTTGATTTCTTTAAAAATTTTGAAAGTTAAAAATTTTCCAACTAATTTAACTATTGACTGACTTATTTTATTTTAGATCAAATCCCAGCAAAAACTTATATCTGAAATTACTGATAATCATATTGATCTGAGACATCTAGTAGCGGATTTACAAAGTTCCAGTGAAGAAAAATTTCTTGTAACAAAAGCTTATAGAGATTTGGAAATTTTAAAAAAGGAAAACAATAGGTTACGCCAGGAAAAAGAAAATTTAGAGAAACAAGTTGAAGATGAAAAAGGAAAATCGGAAAATTTGACTGAGCAAATGAAGGAAAGTCAAGAAAAATTTGAAAAACAAAGCTACAATAATGATCTAAAAATAGAGTTTTTAAAAAAATTTGTTTTTGAATTCCAAGAAAAGTATTGCAAGTACACACCATTAATTTATCTAACGAACTTTGCTTTTGATTATGCAAAACTTTGGAATAAATATAAAGATACTACACAAAATGAAGATGAATATTTATCGAAAATTAACGATATTGTAAAAAATAAATTGAAAAGTGTGGAAAAATCAAATGAGTCTTCAGATATCATAAAGGTTTTTAGTAATTTTTTTTTAGCACTAGAGTAGTAATAATATGTACATAATGTATATTTATATTTTGTATGAAAATTTTATTCAAAATATTTACATAATACGTTTTTGCAATTCTTTTAGTTGATTCAATGTGAAGTCAAATGTATTTTCCTAGAAGATCAATTGAAATTAATTAAAACAAAATTAGAAAACACAGAAGGGGAATTACATGCCTTACAAATTAAGGTAATCGAAGATAATCAACAATGTAAAACAATTCAAGCTCTATTCGGCAAAGACAGACCCTTTATCGAAACAAAAAATAAAATGATACAAACAATCGAGACAGGTTCAAATATTTGTTTTGATGTCTTACATACACATTTATAACTATTAATATTTTATATTATCCTTTTATGTAGAGTGTAAAGATGCCGAATGTAACACTGATAAAATGGAAGAAATCATTATTGAAAAATTTGTAGAAAAGGAAGTACCGATACAAATACCACCGCAAAAATCGGATTTTCAGTCTCAAGCTCCAACTCCAACAATAAGACGCTCTTTGGAAAGGCAAGATACAGTAATAATTCAATCTTCAGCACAGAAACAATCAAGCATTGAAAAAAACAAAATAAATGAAGAAATCTTATTGCTTGAAAATCAATTGCAGCAAGCAAAAAGTCTTGCCTCAAAAAGAAGTGCCTTGTTATTAGATTCCGAAAATAAATTGGCTGAAGCTAATGGAAAACTCAAGGAAATGGAAAAAATAATTGAAAATCTGAAGAGAACTGTTAAAACCGAAAATTATAACACTGAAAAAAAGAATTCAGGAATAATTGAAGTAATATTTTTTTTACATTTTATATATTTTTATATTTAGAACATTATGGAAAAATGCGTACTAATAAAATTATTTTTTTTTCCAGGCCACAATCACATCACTTCAGTCATTACTTTCAGAGAAGGACGTTACTTTAAAACACTATCAGGAATTGCTCAAAACTGAACGCGAACAACACTTAAAATCGTGTGAAACATACGAAAAGGAAATAAAATCATTGAAACAGATACAAAATGAACACGAAAATATATTGCAAAACAAAAATACGGAAATATCTGAATTAACAAAGCGGCTGGAAGCACTAAATCGAAAAAACTCTTTAAGAAATGGTAATAATGAAAGCGGAAAAATATTAAATAATGAAGAATTTGATCAAAATTGTGATAACAGCTTAAACGAAATTTCGGATGAAAAAATTGAGGAAATGTTTTTAGATGAAAGCAAAAGTTTAACACTTCCATCGGCGACTCACCTCTTCATGAATTTACCTAATTTAGATGAATGTCCAGTTAAACAAATTCACCAACTTCAATCTCAAATTCGTGAATCCAAAAGTCGAGAACTATTTTGGGAAAATTCCGTAAGAGCTAAGGATGAAGAAATATTTCTTCTTAAAGAAAAGTATAAAATATTGTTTCTTTAAATCTTTGTCAAAATAAACAATGTTAACACAATTTTTAAACAAAGTTAAATATTCTTTCAGAATAAATATATTGCAGGAAAGGGAAAAACCAGAGATTTCCAGTGCAGAAATAGATCAATTAAAAGTTCTTTTAGAGGAAAAAGATAAACATATCAATGATTTAATGGAAACATTGGCAAGCTTTCATGTAATTTAATCTTCTTAAATTATTTTTTAAGTTTTGATTTCGTTTTCTTTTTATTTATAAGCTTTTTATAATAATCGTTAGGACGATCAACAAACTTTCCTTAACGAAACTTCTTTATATTCCGCTGATCAAATGACTCAACTTGGAGCTAATCTAAACCGGTGCGAAGCAACTAATAAGATTTTACAAGCTCAATTGGATGCATTAAAAAAACAATTAGCTACACTTTCACAACGAGAAAAACAATCTAGGGACTTAGCAAATTCTCTGCGGAATCAATTACTCAAAAGACCAGTTCTTTCTATTAAATCTGATGTAAATTCCAAAAACAAAAATGAACAACAAAAGCGAATTCAACATTTAGAAAGCGAGTTAGAGGCTTGCCGAAAGCAAATTCTACAGCAACAACATATAATAGAAACGAAACGAGCTAAAAATGCAAATGAAGTCAATATGTGGGAGAAACAAAAGCGACATCAGCAAAATGCTGAAAGGCTAAAACTGAAATTAGAAGAAACTGAAAAGAGTCTCGAAAAAACAAGGAGTTTGTTAAATGCCGCGAGAACGACTATAAATAGGTTGGAAAAAGACAAAAATGCTTTACAATCTGCCACATTAAAAGGTAAAAAATACTTTCATCTATCACTCTTCAGCTATATAGTTTTTAATATATATACATAATATTATATACATATGTAGATTAGTCTTTATATTTTCCTTTCTTGTATTTATTATTTTAAGAACTCTTGAGTTATATATCAGATGTCCCAGCGAAACTTTATCGTTTTTGCAATCGTTTACCATTTATACTATCCTTTGAACGACTTTGTAAGATATGTTGGATTTAACCGTTCTGCATTTCCAGAAAACCTACATATCTAGTCGGGGGTCATACTTAGTAATATGATATTTTAAAATATAATTTCATAAACACCAATGAAATTTTTTATGTTGTTTTTGTTTTATTAAAACATTAACTGGTGAAAATTTAGTGAAGATGGTTTAAAATGCTTTCATTTTAAAATGTTGCTACAAAATATTACATAGTATTAAAATTTTAACATATTTTTCTATATCAAAAAAGATATACAGTTTTTCCAATTACAGTTTTTATAATTACAATAGTATCAAACAGAACGTTATCAGAATAAGTTGAAACGAAATGGTAAAAAAAATAGGATACTTTCATTTCAAAAGTGCATAACATGACGTATGTATTTCAATGCTTTCTTAGAAAATTTTATGATCTCGAGAAGTGAATAACTGTTGATATATAATTTTTTTAGAAAAATTTTTGAAACAGGTGGTTAGTTATAATGATCTTTAAGAATTTTTTTATTCAAAACTACTGAAAAAATTGCATTAGAAAGCGCTTAAAATTATAACTAATACTGAACTTTTTTTTTGTCAAAAATGTAGATATCATGTTCTGATAGAAAATCCTAGATTTAGTCTTTTAATTTATAGGTAGTTATTTTAAATTTGGAAATTCTTGTAAATGTAGAAAATAAACCTAAAAAACATAAAAACCGGCATTACAGAATCTTACTAAAATATACATATTACAATGAATAATGTTAATATATTTAAAATAAATATTATTTTTATTAAATTTGTATATTACATCTTTTTTCCTGTAATAATATAAAGATGTATGGTGAAAAGATACTAGTCACCATAAAAAAAGGTATGGAAGATAAAGATTGCTCATGTAGGACGCACAAAATATTCCTCGGTTTTAAAATCACAGTTATGTATTTTTGATGATATATATGCTTGGTTCAACAGTAATTTCATGTATTAAAATTTTTTGTCCTACTAAGACAATAAAATATGTAAATATGGTAATATTATTGCTTTTGCAAAATGAAAAAACTATTGGTAGTATAAATGATAGGAAGAAAATCTGCAACATTTGAGTTTTTGAAATAGAGTTCTTTATTTTATTTTTATTTTTTAGGGACACAAGCAATTCATTCGTCTAACACTGATACATCTTCTTCTCATAAATGTTGCCAAAATCCATCATGCCCTAATTTTCAGATTGTGAAAATTGGTCACAATTTTGATAGTGTTGATAATTCTACCAATTGTCAAAGTGAATGCAGTACTGAGAGGTTGCGAGACAACAACATTTCAATGGACTTCGTTGATGATTTGAAATCTAAAATAGAAATCCAGAAACGCCGCATTTATGCTTTAGAGCTAGCTTCGAAGGGCTCAAATACAATGGTTTCTGAGGTTGAAAAACTTCAGGAAAGAATTTCTGCTATGGAGGCGCAAAATATAAGATGGGAAGCAAAAAATCTACAACTACAATTAGACTTAGATTTAATAAGACAAGGAGACGAAAATGAAAGAAATAAAAAAAGAATTAAATATTTAGAAGAGTAAGTAACGAAACAATATTATACAATATATCATAAGTACTGGATGTATAAATTATGCAACGCTGTATGCTATAAGCTATATAGTACCTATTTAAATACTGTACCTATTGAATTGCGCTTACTTCTCGGTGGGAAATATATATCTTTTTAAAGAGAGCATAATATCCACCAACATGTAAAAAATTGTTTGCTGATTATCTATTATTTTCTTACGAATTACATATAATTGCTGTATATTGTCTTTTTAATTGTTTAAATTATTTTTTTTTATTTTGTTTTAGTTATATATTAGCTTTAAAAGAGGAACTTGCTCAAGCTGAAGCAAAGAAAAACTATTCCATTCCACATGACAACATTAAGAAATCATCAAATACTCAGGCAGAACAAACAATTTTAGCATTAAAAAGAATAATTGAACGCCTTAAAATCGAAAATAAAACATTGAAAGAAGGACGGTCATCTTATTACAGTTGCAGAAATGATGTAGAAATAAAATTTACTAGCATATTGAAGAAAACGCATTACAATTCTTTTTTCAGGAGTCCTCTGCAGGAGAGCTCTTAAGACTAAAACATCTTTACGCTGAAGCAATGAATAAAATATCAACTCTTCAAGTAGAGCTTCAATTGAAAACTAATTGTCCTAATTCAAATAATGGTGTAACTATACAGGTAATATTTTATATTTTATATTTTTAAACCTTATATAAATTTTCTTATTTTTGTGAAGGCTGGAGACGGGGACTTTATGCATGAGCTAAGGTATATAAAGGAGCAATTAATCAAGAAAACTCAACTTCTAGAGAAAGCAAAAATTTTGTTAACAAGGGCTGCTGCTAAGGAAAAAAGTTTGAAAGATCAAGTAAATTTTATACTTAAACCTATGACGGATGTTTTGTTTGAAAAACATTTAATTTTTGAAATGTTATTAGCTGAGTAATTTTTTTTGCCTTAATAAATAACATCCGCGATAGGACCTATGTGTGTAAGATTTATATTTGAGATGAATTTTTGTATTTTGCATTGCAGCTAGCATTATGGAAACGCAAGTGCTCCGAACTTCAAAATGTTCCAGTAATAGATGAAATTAGCGAGTAGAAGTATATGTGTTGTATTATGCCTTGTTTAATTTAAAGTAATATACATATTAAAAAAAATTTAATATAAACAATAATTTTAGATTTATTATCTGACCATTATGAAAAATTATAGGTATTTCATATATTTTTGAAGTTTTATAACTTTTAAAGAGAAGTTGGAAAATTTTACAACCCATACTTATTTTTTTTGCACTTATCTTATTGTATGAGTTAATGATTTATGTAGTTATCTTAGATGTAGGTACTTGTGGCAAACCAAATTCATCTAATTCAATGCCATCTTTGTTTGTCAACGGTTTCGTGCTGTCTGCCCCTGGTTCCTTATCGGGAGCAGCAGGTGCTTTTGTTACATCGTCTAAGTAACTAGTATCATCATCTAGAGCAATTTCATCACCAAGGGCGTCCAACTCAGCTTCTAATTCATCATCGTCAATGTCAGGCATTCCGTAAGTTCTACCCATTGCTTGCTGAACTTCATCTGCTTGTTCTAGCATGTCTGCCATATCATCTTGCATATCCTATAAATGACAAATTACCTTGATTGTCGAACGTTACAAAAAAAGGGCTTACTTCTATATCATCAATGTTTATGTGTTTGTATTCCTTTTTCATTTGTTTCATTCCATCCTTCATTGCAATAACAGTTGATTGGGTATCCTTAAGTGTCTGAGCTGCATAATTGGCTTGCTCCATGTTGAAGGACTGGTTACGTAAACTCTCAACTTGTTGTTCGTACCTAAAAGAAATTTGGATCAGTACAGATAAAGCTATGTCAATATAAACACTTTTATATTTTAAAGTACAACAATTGAAAGTGCTCTTTCTAATTTTTATAGTTTTTTAATTAAGGCACGTTCCGTTGAATTAGAACTAAAATATATTTCACATATAAAAGTCGTTTCTTTTTAAAATAGACAATAAAATTTTAGAATCTTATTAATGATAATGAGTCTAAAATTCATATTCTTGATATGCAATCTCTACTAGCAATAAAAAGAATATCAATAATTATAACTACATAAAAATTACAGAAACACTGACAAGAAAATTACATTTTCTTTTGCTTTAAAACGCGCATAGCTTTTTGTTTAACTGAATTTTTTGCTGGTCCTTCTCTCATTTTAGCTAATTGTTCCTTGTACTTTCTCAATTCTGAATCTAGTTTATTGACTTTTTCTTCAATGTTTGAGGCTCTTTGGTCCACCTGAAACCAATATCCTTATCTGTAATATAGTTTTTTGATTCCAAAATAAGTTAATTATTTACCCCTGTAATACAATCATTTATACTGGGTCCTGGAGTTTTGGGTTTGGATTTTCCAAACAAGCGATTCATTTTTTAATGTTTTCTTGTTTCTAAATTTTACCAAATTTAATAAAATATTTTTGAAAGATGACTAATTTAACAATAACAAAAAATAAATAAATGGAAATATGTAATGTGCGTATGTGCAAAATAACATACTGTCACTGAGACAATTTCATTGAGATAGTGTTCTAACATTATAAAAATAAATTAAAATTTGCGTAAAGTTTATTTTGATACTTATAGCCTGATCGTGTATCTCGCTTTTTTACTCACTTTTTATTCATTTTCAAATCAGAATTCTCAGTATTTCCAATAGATTGGTCATTTTTTCAATTGGGTTTTTGCGTATTTTCTCAAATTATCGACTGAATGTCTCATTTTCCAAAACAACGTGAATAAATTTTTTGCCAAAACGCAATGGCAAACTTCTCTTTAGAAAATACTAGGAATTCTGATTTGAAAGTGAATAAAAGAACGAGATACACGATTAGGCTATTAATATTAAAACTTTACATTTTTCCGAAAATCTATTTAATTAATTAATGGTAAGAACGCAAGTCACAAACGACTAAACCCTTTTAACATTTTTATGTGTCAAATAAGATCTAGTTAATAATGCTTCAAAAAATGCAGCATATTATCAAATAATCACGTAAATCTAATAATAAAAGGAGTAGTATATATTAAATAACTATAATAAAATTATACCTTTTTGTGGCATGCGGTTGTCAAAAAAATTGTATTTATGTTTACGTTTAACGCTGCCATTTATGATTAATGTCAAAGTACGTATATCAAGAACTGTCAATTTCAGTGACAGTTCTTGATATACGCGCGCTGAAATTGAAAATTATTTTCATTGTCATATCAATAAATATATAATGACACGCGGTATAATTATGCACCACATTGGCAGTATTATTGCACTTAAATAAAATATAATGTACAAAAATCTATAAAATATGCCGCATATGGTGTGGGTTTAGCTAACCTCTAATAGAATATGATTGACTAATAATTTTGTTTTAAATTGTTGAGATAAATTACGAAATCTTATATTATAGGTTCCTTCACGAGATTCTATTATATTTTAACTTAAAAAAATGTAAACTTTATCTCGTGAGTCTATTTTTTTTTCACCAAGAACTTGTATTTGGTTTTTGACAACTCGTATTAATTTACACACGTATCTATACTTTGACATTGTCAAGAAATAGCTGTAACTTTTTAACTGTTATTTGTAAATTTAGAAAAAATATTTTTCTTCATCGAAATTTATTCATTCAATGTTCTTTCTTACTCAGTTTCAAAGGATTTTCAATACTATTCTATTCATGAATAGACAGCAGTAATCATAATAAAATATTATTTAATTGATTTTTTTTGTTTTTTAAATTGAAATTTCTGTTTTTGAAAATTAGAAGTCAAAAATTTCTTAGACAATTTAAATACTAAATAATTTGATAATTGTATATATTATTTAATTATCTGCTTGTACAGAGCACTACAAGAAGAACAAAATACGTAATAAAAAACGTACAAAATAATATATAAAACTAAAAATTTATTACAAAATTTAATTTTTTTTCATATTATTGTTAAATGTATCCATTGTGTACTTTTTTCATGAATTTCTTAAGGGATCTTACATTTTTTTTTACTTAAGCAAAATTTGAAAAATTCTGTAAAACATAAAATAATTACTGGATACAAATATTTCGTTTCAAATGATTACTTGATTTTTGTACTCATAGAAAGTATCTGGTAAATTGTAATTGCAAAAGTCATTTCATTATAACTCATTAGAAAAATATTTTCTCTAAGTAGTAAGTAGAGAAGTTTCATCTTAATTTAATTTTTATTTGTAAAAAAAAGCAATTTTTATAAGTTAATTAAAATTTGAAGCAATTTTATTTTAAATATAATTTCAAATCAGTTATATTGTTTCAACTGTTTTTTAGATATGCATAAGTGTTGTATTTATCATATTTTTTTAAATATTTTAACAATAACAAAAGTGTACAGCTGATTTTATCGATTTTATATTTGTGTATAAGAGTAAAATAGAATCAAAGAATAAGTAAAATATTTAAATCAGAAAAATTCAAATGTTTATTTAGAAAAAAAGATATATCTATTTACTAGAATGAATAAAAATAAACAGGCAAGAATGTCTATTGAAAACGGATTTTAATAAAAAAAAAGTAAAATACTTCTCAAGAACATGCAAACTAGCAACAACAATCCAAAAAAGAATAAAAAAATCCAAAAAAGTATTGAATCTTTTCAAAAATTTTTAAAAATCTACTTACCTACCTACATTATGTGTGAATTTATAATAAAGGGTGAAAAAAATAATACTTATGGTTTAAAATTCGTAATACATGTCTAATATAAAACACTTATTGATTTATTAAAATTATAAGTGACTTCTGTGACCCGTATTGGTATTGTCAAGGTTTTAACTTACGTCTTTTATAGTTGGAATATTAGTATTAAACATTCAAGGGCAAAGAAGGGCTACATGGTCAACGATAACTTCGAAGATTTTTTTATGTTATTTCATTTTGCTCGTTCATTCTTGGTTCTTTAAGAACAGGGTGTGAAAATTAGTTTAAAAAAAGAGTACCTACATCTTTTGTAGATCTTTATGGGACATAATTTTTTTTTTTGTTAAAACCATAAACTATTTGTAAAAGAAATTGTTTTTAGTTACTTGCAATTCATAAGTACTGTGTATTTGTACATATGTATACATATTTAATATCTATCTACATTCTATATAATGATATAAATAATATGTAGGTAAATATGTCTACATTTATTATGTATTGTTAATAAACCAGACAAAAAAATTTGGTAACATCTTTCATATATGTATTTCTATTGCAGGGCAGGTACTTATTTAAAAGTGAGCCATACTATTATAATGGTCCCAGTATTATAAATTATATTCACCTTGAATTATGGTTGTGTTTTACTTGCCTAATAATTCTTAAGTTTTCTTCTGATCAATATACTATTTCATGTTCCCTTTTAGCTTTTCATTTGGCGATTTTAGAATTTAGTGTTAACCATTTATTCTTTTCTCTCGAATGAATTTAATTTTTTTTTGGGGGAATTAATGCAAGTATATGTATGTTCCTATGTTGGTATTTATGTATTAATATAAATATAACCATGACACAATATTGGTAGATAGGCACATTTTAAATAAGTAGAAATAAACTGCAGCAGTCTCATTCAAGAATTAAATAAGAAAGGTATTGGTTTGGTGTGTGAATAAGATTTGTACTTTCTTTTAATGCATATTGTAAAAGGAAACGTTTAAATAAAATGAAAACTTTAAAGTGCAAAGCCATTAGAAACGTGAGTAAACATTTGCAAGTTTTTTAAAAATAATGAGGAAAAAAAGTGAAAATAAAACGTGATTATACATTTAACCTAGTACCCACATACTTTTTATTTTATTATTTTATTTCATTTTAAATATTAGAGTGTTTCAAATTCAAAAACCCTAAAAAGACGAATAAAAATTAATTTGATATTTATTTTATTAAGTGCAGTTTGTCGTTTCGTGATAACTTATTTATATTGCTTCTTAAGTTATAAATATTTATAGAACATTTTTGTAATTATGGAATTTTATTATATTCAGGAAAAAGGACTATATTTTTTTTATTGAATTTAGAATACTGAGGTAGATATTTTATATTTACTAGGTACTTAATATAAAAAATAAAGTTCAAACATTACCGTGTCTTTAAATAATAAAAAAAATTTTAAAGTGTTAAAAAAATTTAAATGGAATACATAAATTTAGTAATAGTTGTAAAAGCTCGCATGAAATCGTAAAAGGATAAAAAGGAAAATATAATAATTATTTTCAAATATTTAATATGGGAGGTTCCGTAAGTCAAGTATTTCGTTCTGGAAGTGCTTTACTATCAAATCGTGATGGTCATAAAGTGTCGAAACCAACTGAAGAAAAAATTCAAACAATATTTGAAATACTACGAGCAAATCCAAAGATATCTATTCATACATTAGAAGCTTTACTACATCAAATTCCTAAGGTAAGTGTGTATTTTAGCATATTAATAAATTTTAAGCAATTTAGATTGTATATGTTATTTGGGTTAGAAAATAGGTAGGTTGGTAGGTAGTGTCATGCTAATACCAGCATTCAAACATGTTACGATAAATCGAAGTATAAGTACTTAATTTTGTTTTATGTTGTCTTAGGAATGACATCCATATGCTTATTAAGAGAAAAATAATTTAATATCTCTTTTATATTTAAGTATTTACTTATTAAAAGTTTAAAAAAAATGTTTAAAAGTGTAAATATTGACAAAATATTCAATATGGTCATTTTTATAAATAATCAAAGACAAGTTGCCTAAGTCAGAACAAAAAGTTTAATTTTCAAGAATATTTAAATTTTGGTTGATAATTAATTAGCAATTGTGTTTTTTATAAATTTTTATCCAAAAAGAAAAATGAAGTTAATTACTTATTCATAATTCATTCGATTGTCCATTTCCTCAAAATAAAACTTAATCAAAATTATAAAATTAAGTAGGTACTTAATGATTAGTCGTATAGGCACGAGGTATAAAATATTATACAAAGTAAAAATAATACTTAATAAGTATAAAAAAATAAAATAGTAATATATACTTAATTGCCAACTACTTACTCATAATTTTTCCAATATACTTATACCTATTATTGAATTAAGTATAACATTAGATGCATCGCTTGAGAATATGTACTGGATATTATTCCAAAATTTTAAAACAAATTACCTTCAAAATTTGAATTTCTGCACTGAAAACCTTAACAGTTTTGAATAATATCCTAAAAAAACTTGTTCCATATCACTTTTTTAATATAATATGTATGTACACGAATTACATACATATATTTCTTAGGCATCAATAAAATTTGACCACGAAAGTCAAAAGCATTGCTTTTCGTGTAGTGGTTGTAACGTTTTTCTTATTCTACACTCCGGCCTTTTTCTAAAGTTTGCTTGCCTTTTTCTGAGACTAATTCCAGAACAGTTTGTCTATAATAAGTACTTAATGTACTGTTCTGCAAATTCATTTTTTGCCAGAAGAAGAACAAACTCATTTCATTAAAACTTAATGAAAGTTTAATAGAATTTTCAAGCTTAAAATTAAAAATGGTTGATGTCTAATAGTCCCAAATTTAAATTTACAAATTTCGAGACCATGCATTTGATAACATATTTGAACATTTGAAAACCTTCTTACAAATTTATTAATGTTTGTATATATGTATATGCAATTAAAAACAATACACACACGGTCTTAAAAATTTACAAAAATTGTATACATAAATTCGTGGGAAATCAAAAATGACTTTGCTATATCAAAATCTAATTGACTCATTTAATATCCAGTATCGTTCATGTTATGTTGCATGTTCTAATTTAAATAATGATTTATAAAAAATAAGTAATATAGCTATTAAATTTAAAATAAATATTTAATTTTAAATGTCAACATTAGTTCTCTTAACGTAGTTTGAAGTCTTGTGTTCTGTACCACTTGTCACATAATGTTTTCGCGCTTTAAGAACATGTTTTAATATTTCCATTTACAGCTTCATTCTTTTTTTTTTATAATGTAAATTCTTGTTTCATTTATTGTAATTAATATAAAAATTTATCATTATTTTCATTTTTTAAATAAAACTATTTTTTGTGGGTATTTTAACAATATTTATTTCCAATTAATGGCCACCACTAAATTAATATAATAAATGAGTGCGTAATTGCACTTATCTTCAATGTGAAAAGCAATAATTATTATGTACCCATCTTAGTGTTTAAAAAATTTTTAATCGACATTTTATTAAATAAATTTTAAAATTATTTTATTAAAAAAATAATTATCACAGACACTCTCTAAATAATCGAATGTATATAGAAAGTTATTTATTTATTAATTTAGTTTAATTGTTATTTTCCTCTAAACGTATTTTAAACATCTGATAACTCTAAATATAGACCATATTTTATATTCATTAATAGCTTTTAATGGTTAATAAATTTATAAATTTATTCAAATATTCAGCTTTAACAAAAATAAACAAAAGAGAAAAACTAAAAAAAAAAGCAGAATAGTATCAAATTGCGTCAATTCAATTTAATGACGTCTGAGCTCTCATCTAGACTTAAAATATCAAAGTATATACTTAAAATATTCTGTAGGAAAGCAAAAATACGAAAATAATAATAAAACTAAGAAAAATTAAATATTTAAAATAATAAAAAAAAGTTATAAAATGTGTCCGAACTTTGATTTTATATTGATCAGTTTGTTATGCTTCATTCATAATGAATTGTTGCCGATATTCACTTATTATATTTTACTTATACTAAGTAAGTATATAAGTATACTTATATATTATACAATGTGTAAACTGAATTAAAATTAACAGAAATGGAGTTCATTGATGTGAAAATAATAACAATATTAAGCACATACTTTCGAATTAATTAGAAATTTTCAACTGGTTATATTATGAACATATGCGCCATAAATATAGGATTGTAATTAGTTATGGCATTTCGTCGGCTCAGTTCTAATTTTCTCCATTCGCCACCAACACGAATTCGAGAATCGGAACAGGAAAGTTTGAACCTTAATTAAAAAATTCGAACGATTTTACTTAAATTTTGCAGTTTAGTTTAATAATTATTTGTGTACAACACCGTTAATTTTTCCAAGTCTAGATTTTTCGGAAAAATTTAATTTTTTCTTTAAGTTGGTCTTTTTTGCAATTGCTCTATATCCCATGAGTTTGTTAGTACTTACAGACTTCTTTGCACATGTAGCAAATAATTTTGCATATTAAGCACATTAAAAGTTAAACCTAATTTCAGTAAAATTATATTGAAATCCTATATCGGTGGAGCAATTTATTTAAGAAATCTGAAGGAAAATTACAGATTCCGCAATTTGGGAAAGAAAAAGCTAAAAAAAAGAATAAGAATTGGTAATAATTAAAATTATCCAAAGCGGCAAATTTTAGATATGCAGTTGAATTTTAAAAAGGTAAACAGAATGATCAGATAAAAAATATCATAAAAATTTCTTATCATACTTTTTAATATATTTAAAAATTTTTTTGTAATAAATATTATCGATAATAGCAAATTTTTTAAACTATTTATTTTGTTAACATAATGATATTTAAGCTAAAAAAAATTTTTTAATTTGCTGTTATAGTTAAGTAATTTACTATGAAAAGTAGTAAATGTGTTAAAAATATGATTAAAAATTTTTAGGACATTGTTTTTCTGATCACTATGTTTAGCGCCTAAATACTTACCATTTTCATAAAAAATATGTACCTATATATACTAAATGCAATTTTAGGCAATTTTTGTTACATCTATGCAGCACATGCAAATCATACTTTTTTCATGTAAAATGTGCTCCATATATGTTATGTAAATGTGTTTAACAGATAAGCACAAAAATCTGTAAAATGTGGTTTATAGAGCAAAAGCGACACCGAATATCTTACAAACTAAGGAAGACAGCAAAAAACGGTTTGCGTCACGTGAAAGAACACCTGTCAAAACATAAAACCACTCTCAAGTCAAAATTTTCAAAAATGATATATGCAGTAAATTAGAACTCAGCCGACGATTTTTAATTTGAAATATTTTTCTTGTTCATCAATTCTAAGTACATATCTACATTACGTTCAGTTACCTACTCTACGGAGGAAATTCTACAGGTTCGTCTAAGTATAGTAAGTGTAAATTTTTGTAAGAGTAGAGTTTCTTAGAGATTTTAATGTATAAAATAGTAAAAAAATTACAATGAAACTGATAACTTGTTTTGAAAAAACATCGTAAAAGGGTAAGGTTTTTAGAAATCTTGTTTTTTTTAAAGAGATACATTTATCTTCAGAGCAAGTCATAATAATTATATTACGTACTTATAGATCGATTTTTTATAGATACCGTATTGCGGGATTGAGCCCTCAAAAATATGGTTCTTAAGGAGGTTCTTTAGATAAGATACTGGTTGCTTTTTGTCGAGCATGACAGGGTTCACAATAGATGTGTTACATCACAGTGCACCGTCACCCAAAAAATTTACAATGAGCAGATCAAATCAAAAGTGATTTTTTTGAAAACCGTTTTTTAATTTTTTTTTACTTAGAGATGGTTCTATACTATAGTGCAAAACAAAAATTACTTAAAACTGTTGTAAGTTTCATATGGTAAATATGTAATAGGAAATATATAAGAATTACAGTGGTCGAAGTGGGATACTCAAAGTGGTGGGATGGTAAAAAAAAAAAAAAATTAAAAAAAAAAAAAAAAGTATTATTTTAGTTATTTTTTAAAAAAATAACTTAACGACATTTACCAAACTTTGGAAGTAAACTAACGAGAATGTTTATATTCAAAATTAAATCAACTAAAAATTGAATCTAAAACTGTGCCAATTGTTACCAAAGAAATGCATAGACTACTATGTAGTAACAAAAATTTCGTTAATAGAAAAAAATTATACGTTACTATTTGAAATTGGTCTTCTTTAAAATTACATATATTTAATTTTTTGTTAAAAAAATTTTTAAAATTCATTAGAAAATTTTCTTAAATTTTAAAAAACATGTTCCGGAACGCATTTTTCTCTCCTATTAAGTAGTGGGATGGATTTCCAATTATTTAAAAGCACTGGGATGGCATCCCACTCCATCCCGCCTCACTTCGAGCACTGAGAATAACAATATTAACCACATACTCTCGAATAAATTAGTAATGTTTAACTGGGTTTTTCAATATTTTGCACTTACAATTGTGAATGTAACTATAAGTCACATATTGTAGAATTGAAATAAATAAGTAAATCAACTTTGTTCATTTAATTATATTTTGGCTAATATCATAAATTAATTTTAATCAATCAAGAAACAAAGCAATGTTGTATATACATATATTAATCAATATATTATATGTGCTCATTTAAACAATTTTAAATTATTTTTGGTTAAGTAATTTCTCAATTTTATATTTAGATAAAATTAGGTAAAACATAGACTTACACACTAAATGAACCTTCGTTGTAGGATATTATAGATTTGTCATTCTCCCTTATAACGCTAGAAAAAAAAAATTTGAGATACTTACTTATGCACAATGCTCATAACCGAATGATTTAATCAGATGTATTTTCGCCTATCTTTGCCCGTCTGTGCTAGTTATGGCATAAAGACTAATTGAATGACAAAAATTATAAAATTTTTAGAAAATGGTTTATAATTATTGTACTAACTGAAAACATCTCTGAAAATATTGAGTCCACAATATGTGGTACAAATGATTTAAATTTAACATAATGTATTGTGAGCACGGGGCCACTTTTTTGTGTTCGATGTTGTATAATCTTTTATGAAAATTCTCATTAGAATGATAGAACATATAGGTAGAGTTGGTATACATCGGTATATTATTTTAATTATGTTAATGCAGAAATTTTAAATCGGTCTTGTTTAAGTATTTTTGAAATCAATAATGTTTTGTTAAATTATATTATAAATTTTCTATAACTTATATTTGTATTTCTCAAAAAAGCATTTTTATATATTTTTAGAGTGAAAATATATTATTAATACATGATGAATCTGGTTATAATATATTACAAAAAAGTGTTGGTTTAAATCACATCGATTTAACAAAATGGTTACTACATCGTCATAGACCTGATGTTAATAGAAGTCCTTGCTCTCTTCCATTACATATAGCTTGTTTAAAAGGTAACATTTTTCTTAGTACTTATAAAATAATATACTAATACTTAACCCCTTTTATATTTAATTTTTTAAGGATATGAAGAATGTGTCGAACTTTTATTAAAACATGGTGCTCGAATTGATACTGAAGCTCGAATGTGCTATCCAGGACCTCATTGTCATAGTTGTGAAGAGAGTGGAAAATATCGTGGAAATCAAGAGGACGTTGCAGGTGTTGCAGCCACATCGTCATGTAACGAAAGAAATTATACAAAATTGCAAAATGCTGTTTGTTATGCAATAGATGGTGATCAAATAAATGTTTTAAATATTTTATCACAAAAAATGGAAGATCCTTGGGTAAGTTAAATTTTTTATTTAATTTTGTATAATAGAAAATATGTATGGAATAGTTGTGATCGTTTAAAGTTAATCTGGGAATGATCAAATATTTAGATTTGAGTTAGTTGATGTTGTAAAATAAAAATGCAAAATTTAATTTCTCATTTTGTTAATTAAAATTTAAATACATTTATATGTATGTTCACTGCTAACCAACCCATATCTATATACATAAAACTATATTTTTGTATGTTATGTGTATATTATAAATCGTTTGAGATTAAATTAAACAATATTTCTTAATTTTTAAAATTTTCTGTAGATTTGAGAATGTAAGATAAAAAAGACGACTTTTTTCAAAAATAGCGTATATTTTTGATTCAATGAAAATAAGGGATATAACCCAGCATTTACACATACAAGTTACTTGCATGCAAGTTTGTATAATATTCATTGTCAATTAGTTTTTCGAAATGTCAAATTACTTGCTATTATGACGTAGGCGTTTAGCAAGTTAATTTTTGAAAATGTCTTTGAGAAGAAAACAACTAGCAATATATATAATTGTTTATAAATTTTAGAAACCATAAGTTTGCTAAGTTTAATTTTTTCAAAACAAAATTCAAAAATTTTAAATTAAAAAAAAAAAAATCAAAACAACAAATTTTTTTTTGTGAATTTCTCAATATGTCAAATTACTTGCTCAAATTACTGGCAGCAAAATTTTCTTGCAAGTTGAACTGCAAGTAAACAAGCAAGTAGAAATATTTCAATGTGTTAGTAAAATTTTTGTATGTATTGCAACTTTCTTGCAAGTAACTTGTACGTGTAAATGCTGGGTAACAGACAAGATTTTTGTAAACAAAATTTTCACAACATTTTAAGCCTGATTTATGTTAAGACCAAACAATATAAAAGAAGATAAGGAGCGCCATAGGTGCATTTTTGCACACTAGCTGATTTTTGACAAATCAGAAAATTCCGTAGTTTGCAAGTTACTATTACTTATTTTGAATATTTACGGCAGATTTCAAAATATTTATATTTCAATAATTTTACCACTTGTGTTAATAAACAGCAAAAAAACTAGAAGCATATTTATGGGCTAAAATAAATAGTATTATTTAATAACTCGTTATTGTTCGAATATCAATAAAAAAAATTATTAGAACAAATCAGGTATTAATTAATGTCAGTTACTTTAGAGTATAATGTGCTTCTTTGATTAAGCGAAATTTTGCAGCAACTTACGACATTATCGTACTAAACTTGCAAAACATTTACTCTTAATTTTCTATAATAAACAATTTTTTTTTTTAAATAGTTATGTTAAATATATTGCAAATTATTATAATTTGAAGTAATGTTATAATTTTAAAAATTATCAGTTAAAATTTTTTTAATAATTAGCAAATATAATTGCCATTTTTCATACTTGAATGCTATTTTAAACTTATTTTAAATTTTATTAAGTAGAAATCATTTATTCACTAGTAGTGTTAATGAACTATATATTTCCGTATGATTAATAGTATACACATATATGTATATATATATGTATTTAAACAAAAATATCTTAAACTTTTTAATATAAAAATTGAAAAAAAAAATGTTGCATGATAATTCTTGGAGAAATAATTCGGATTTCCTTTTTTTATGTTTATTTTTTGTGTTTTTGTTCTTTTGATTTCAAAAACCCAATTTAAAATTAAACAGTGTTTTTATCAGATGCCGTTCAGAGTGAAAAAACCGTTATTACATTTGGCATGTGAGAGAGGTGCTTGGAAATGTGTCCAACAATTGGTAAATCATTATTATCTGTTTAATTACTTTCAATATTGTTACGATAACGCATATATTAATTACTAATTTTTTTTTTATATATTTTTAGGTTATCACAAGATCTGAAGAAATTAATTTGATTAAAGATGAATATTATCCAATACATCAAGCTGTTTTGCATGATAGTAGATTTTTACAATTATTAATTGATCATGGTGCTGTGACTACAGTTAGAACATGTACACAACAAATGACCTTATTACATGTTGTTATATTTGCTGCTAGAAAATCTGCAGAAGATACTCTGCAAACATTAAGGCTGTTATTACAAAGTGGCTGTAATGAATTAATTAATGAACCAGATTCATTAGGAAATACTCCGTTGCACGCTTTAATAGTTCGTTATGCGTTAGAAGAAGCTAGGTGACTTTTAAACATGATTCTTTTATCAATTCAAATGAAAATAATTTTTATTTTATTGTACATGTTTTTTATGTACATTATACAAAAAAGTGCCTTAGATTTGATATGTAGTTTGTAATATCTTTAAAAAAAATCTTGCTTACTATATGGGTTCCTGAAGGGGAAAGGGGCAAAGTTAAGTATTAAAGTAAGTAGCCGGTGTGCTAAGTACTCGTAGTGTTATGCAGCATTTTCCTATTCATACAACTTTTAAAATCTAAATTTAGTTAAAATAAAAGAGGATAATTGAAAGTAATTTATTTGCAGAAAATTTAAGTAATTACGATCATTACTTTTGATATTTTAGATTCATTTCGGTTTAGCACATTTTCAGTTTTCATAGGCCCCACTTTAACTTTAAGAAAAAATTTTATGCTTTTTAAAAAGTATTGATGAGTGACTTAATTCGATTTATGAGGCCTAACTGAAAAACAAAAAAAAAATATAAAAATTTTAATAGTTGCAAGGAATTTTTATAGAATTATATAAAATGTTATATGGGGAAAAAGGTGAAAAATAAAAATCATCAGAAGAAATTAAGAAAAATGAAGCCTTGAATTATCAAGTAAAACTTTTTTAAGGGAAATAAGAAATATTTAATTTCATTGCTGAAGCTAAATACATGTTTTTAAATTATAATAAAATAAAGATTAAATTTATAATCTAAATTCTAAAAGAATTGGACAAAAAAAAACTAAGCGGAAAAAAATGTCCAAAATTAAACCTGGAAAATTTTACTTACTCATGTACAAATGAAAACATACATATCTTTTATTTTAATAAATGGATAATATCCAACGGAAGCAAATATAGCACTGATAACTGTAACTAAATATGTACTAACCAAGTCGAAAAGACGAAAAAGCCATAAAAAGTGTTTTCAAATGTGTTTAATTTCGACCACTTCAAAACGTAAAACATTATTTCGGTCCACGGTTTAAAATAACTAAACTGAAAAATATTTATAGTTAACTATTTATTTATTCGTCCAAAAATTGTTTAGTAATGTTGTTCAGTTTAATTGTTTATAATTAATAATATTTTATTGGTTTAGGTTTTTTCTTTGGCAACGATTTATTTTGAAATAGACTGAAATTTCTATTTATATCTTCCATTTTTTATTCTAGATATGGTTATGATAAATGGAGTAAGTGGGACGTTTTACATTTGGTAAGATTTATGCTACAAAATGGTGCAAAAGTATCAATAAATCAATCTGGAAATAGTGCTTTAGCTTGTGTTTTTCGACATGTTCGTGACTGGGAAGTTTGTTTTGAGTTATTGAATATGTTAATCAAAGAAGATGGTAACTTTTTTTGTGAATGTCTTTATATTTTATTTTGCAGATTTATATTGTTTTTTTCTCACTTATTAAATTTTTTAGGTGATCCTAATATTGTTGGTCGTGACGGTTCAGTTCCGATAATGGTTTGCTTAGTTCCGCTTATAAATAAAGATCAATTACACCACTTTACTCATTCTATGAAGGTAAGAATTTAAATTAAAACTTCAACTTTATAACATATATAATATTTCATATCAAATATGATTTGTTAGTATATTGTAGTAGCTATTTCATGCTTCATAAGTTCATCTCTCGATTTTATGATAAAAATAAACTGAATAAAAAAATTCTGAAATTCATCAAACCTTATTTTAATCTTTAAAATAAGGTATGATAAAAAACATAAATTGTATTTTGAAAAAAGTTATTAAGTAAAGCATATTATAAACTGAAAAATATTATACGGTTGCGTTAAAACATGTTGTTATTGAGATCATTGACTTTGTAAGAACGTTTTTTATTTCCTTACTAAAAATAAAATTATCTAAGGTGATCTTTAATCATATCAATTATAATAACAAAAACAAATTTAAATTGTAAACTTTATTAATTATAAATATTTCATTTTTTTTATAGGTCTGCTATTTGAATTGCATACGAATTTTGTTACAATATGGAGCAAATCCAAATTGTTCATATCGTTCAAACTTAACGCCGTTGCATGTTTTAGTGTTTACAGTTAGTGAAAATTTCACGCTTAATTGTGATGTTCAGAAACGCATTAATTTTGAATTTATCAAAAATATTTTATTACTTTTACTACAACATGGCTTAGATTGTAATTTAACATATCAACATATATTGCAAGCAGTAGTGGAAATGGTACAAAATGTTCGTACAAGTCCACCAGATATGATGTGCATCTATGAATTGATTAAACTTTTAATACAATATGGTGCTGATCCCAATATTTTGCTCAGTTGCAAGCCGACCCCTGGAAGTCAAATGTTTTCAAATGAAATTGCAAATTTTGGTGAAAATATGTGCCATATTATTGAAGAATCATCACAAGATTTAGAGTGTCCTACATCATCATCAGCATCTTCATCAAATAATAATAACGGTTTAAATGGTGGAAGTAGTGGAAATAACAGTTTGAATCCTAATAATAGTAACAACAGTAGTGGCAATGGTATTCGTTCTATTCATGGTGATCACTTTCGAAATTCGTTTCGTACGAACTCTAGATATATATTATTTTATTATATTATTTTAATAAGCAAAAAAGAATTTATATTAAACGATTCTGAACTGACCTATACACGTATTATTAATTTATTTTATTTAACAATGCAACATGAACCACTATTTAATTGTTTAAAATCATTACACAATTTTTATGTAGCTCAAGTACCAAATAAAAAAACCGAACCATTAATTCAATTAATTTCATCAATGTATCGTAAACCTAGAAGTTTAAAGCAAATGTGTCGCATTGCAATATATGAAAGTGTCAATCGCAAATTAGCTCAAAATATAAATGGATTAAATTTACCTGGCCCTTTAAAAGAATATGTATTAAATTTTGATTCATAATTTTTACATATTATAAGGTTTATTTATGTTCAATTGTTAAATCTTTGTTGAAAAAAAGTTAGAATAAAATTTTGTATTTTGTTAAATTTTAATTTTAAAAAATTAAAGAGAGGTAAAAATCAAAAATATAAAATCTACATTATGTAAAAATATGTTATTTTTTTTATCATACATGGTGTAAAATTTTTATTTTTAGTTTTTAAAAAAGTATTGATTGTAATCGTTAAAATTACTTTTTAAGAAATAGATTTTAATTTTTTTGTAAAAACATCAATTTAAAAGTATACAATATTGTCAATATTTGTGTTATATATTTTAAATATTATATTTTTAAAGCTTTAATATTGCTAAGTTGAATGTAATTTTTATTTCGAAGTTTTAATATCGTTTGAAAATTTTGTAGTCTCTTATTAAAACGCGGTTAATAAAACATAACTATTTCAAAAAAGTTGTAATATTTCAACTTTAATATTTCTATACTAATTTTATTATATATAAATTTTACAAATCGCTTCCCGAAGTATTGTTTTTGTTTTCTTTAATTTAAACAATGTTTTACAAGTAATTCAGTTAATATTCTTAAATTATTTAAAATTTTAATTTTTTAGCGTCAAAAGTAAAAAAAGATTTTATGTATTTAAGACTTTTCAAAGGAACTCAATTTTTGTTTTATTAAACAAGTTGTTTCCTTGTGTTATTGAACAATCAGTTTCCTTGATATCTACGTTATTTGTTATGAATCCATGATATGTATTTAATTACAAATAAACTGAATAATAACAATTTTTGCTCAACAAACTTTACTTTTACAATTAAAACTAACACAAAAGTTTTTGGTTCGTGTAGATGACAAAACATGTAAATTAAGTAATCAATTTTTTACTTTATTTTGATATGTCATACTTAAAAGTAGTAATGTAAAAAATACAAAAATTCTATTTTCGTAAAAAATATTTAAGTGGTGAACTGCATAAAACAAAAAACTAAAGTGAAAAATTCGAATTAATAATTAAAAAGAGAGATGTAAATTTCTTTATTTAACTGTTTAATTTTAAAATTATTTTGATGTTTATAAAATAAAATAAAAAGAATGAAAGTTTCTCAGATAAAAGATTATACAAAAATTGTTAAAGTAACAATTATTAAATATATGTACATATACAAAATACATAAAAACTATATTAAATTATACTTGTGAATAAATGTACGTTAAAGATTCATTTTTTTTGAATAATTTATAGTCTATTTTTATGAAATAAATGTTAAAAAAGTAGAAAAAGGAACAAAAATAAAAAACGAATTTAATTATAAAGTTATTAAAAACTGAATAAAAAAAGTGCAAAAATACTTTTGAATGAAATAGATTAAATGCTTAAAACAACAATAATTGATTTTTTTCAATTGATAATATGAGATTTTGCAAGGTAAGAAACGTTGGTAAAATATTCTATATTTATAGTTAGCCATTTGAAATGTGCTTTAGTGCACAGTACAATTCTTGTTTGGCTATTTGTTGAAATTACTATTAAATTAAAAACTTAAGAAAAGAAATAAGCAAAATTTAGAAAACCGAGGTTCAGCATAATAGTTAATTAACTGCCAATTACTTTATTGTTTCTTTAAAAAACTTTGGCTTATGCGGTCTTTAATTTTAGCCAATCTCGGCTGTAGTGATTTTTATGCGTACAAATTTTAAAAGGCTGAAATTTTTGGTGCAGTATGGAATATATTTGTATTAATAAAAAAAACGTAAGCTAAACTAAATTCATAATGTTATCATCGATAAATAATGCGTATTTGAGGTTTTTAATGCGTATTTTAAAGATGCAGGGGTGTATGGTAGTATATTCAAATGTACATAATATAATGCTAATCAATTTAATTTTTTTACTCTTTCGAAAAGTTATGATTTTTAGACTCTTGAGGCTAAATATTTAAACTAACCTGGATCAAAGATAAAAGCCTGAATTGCTTTAATCAAGTTAAGTATTTTTAATCCGATAATAATATTTTGATCATAAGCCCACATTATTTTATATTATGAAAAGTTCTCTCGCAATTAAATAAATATTTCCGTGATTATGTATTTTTACCGGAAGTTAGCAAACCAGCTTCTGTTTATAGTAGAAATATTATGTAATATTGATACATTGACTAATGAAGAAATCAAATCTGATTAAATTCTAATTTTTATATATAAATAAATAAATGAAAATAAAATATTATATTTTTATATTTATATACTTATGTATATATATAATTATATTGTATATGTATATATAATAATATATGATATACTCGTATTATGTACAGTAGAACCTTCTTAAGCTGACCAGTCAAGGGTGGAAGAAAAATTTCACCATATAAGATTGGTCCAATTACAGAAAAAAACATTTTTTTCTTAAAAACAAAGTAAGCGAGAAAAGATAAAAACAAAAATAAATTTTTTTATTATGGTCTATGTGTGGAATGTTCTTTAATATGCAATAATATCCGCAAATTCTTTAACGTCAAAATTTTGATTTTAGTCTGCAAACTGTCTGAAGCGAAAACTTTTACGGACAGAAATCTAGTAAACTTTTTACCCGTAATTGACTTTGAATTTTGATCATCCGTAAACGTCAAAACAAAAAAAAATTTTTTTTTAGATTTAAAATAATTTTATACTTACATATTAAAAATTAACAATAAAAATATTTTTTATATTATTTTTAAAGTAATGATAGTCACTCAACACATCAAATTTATTTACTGAATTACTACGTCAGACTGTCTGCATGTAAAAAAAAAAATCTACAATTTTGACGCTTAATTGACTTTTTTTAAACGTTTAAGAATTTAAACTTTGACTGAGAGTAAAAACGTAGTAGAGTATCCTCAAACTCAGACAACTCAGATTTTGTAAAATTTGACGTTTAAGAATTTACCATATATAAATGAAAGAAGGTACTTTTCTTTGTAAAAATGGGACTTACTGCAAGGGCACTGAAAATCTGGTCAAGCTAACAAGGTGGTCTCGTTATAGAGGGGAAAACATACGGCGTTTTCCTGTATTTTATATATTATATTTATTTATTTATAATGTAAATTATATGAATTTTAATTAAATTTAAAAAATCTAAAAATTTGACAATTTTTTTTAAATAATTTAAGGGAATAAAATTCCTTTTCGTTTTTATTTATTTTGTTTTTTTTCCTTCTTCACTCCTAGGAGGAGTATAGGTCTAGTGCATGATATCTATCATGCCCTAGTTTCTATAGTCATAGAGAGTTAGCTAGGTAGGTGACTAGCCTACCGTACTTTTATTTATATTTAATATTTCAGTTTATTAATATTTACTGTTTATTTTTCTTAGTCTTTTTAGTATCGAATATTATGAATATTTGAAAATTACTTGTATAATATTTATTAGTATTACATTTTAAGTTATATAATATTGAATATAATTTTTATAGTGACCTGACCGGATTGAAGAATTTCAATCTTTATATATTTGTGCAAAAAAATATTAAACATTAATTAAAAACTATTTGCTACTTTAACGTAACATGGCAGAAAGGTAATGTTTAGAGTTCGATTGAAATTTCTCTCAATCCAATGATAAGAACGAAAAATCCAACGTTATTCGTTAAGTTACAGATTATTTTAGTGCAAATGATTATTACAATCATTAAAAATATTTTTGTTACGGTGACAACTTATTCAAGTATCTTTAAATGAAGTGGTGTATTTCTGAAAGAGGATAAATTATTATAATTTTTTTCATATTAGGTCATAAAATTATTTAACCCCGTTAATTTAAACCAAATATATATTTCATTCTTTAGAAAGTACCAATATTTATAGGAACAACCGCTAGGATAGTGCAACATTACAATTATATTTCGGGCCATATCTAATTTATAATCAACATAAATGTAACATGTATACTTACATATTTATGTATATTTTTTTAATATTTTTATTAAATGATCAATGTCAAATTTGTGTGTTTTTATTTTAGTTTTTTCTCTGACATATGCATGTGATTAACGTAAGATACATTTTTGAAATAAATGTAAGTATGTGTGTATAGACGAATGTAGTGATCAAATTAATTCGAAGTATGTATGTACATATGTGTATTTTGATCACAAGTATTATCACTAATGTGACTAATGTCTAAAGTAATTTCATGCTATATTATTTTTCAAATTAATTTATAAGAAAAATTCAAAAATCCTTGATTCAAATAAGTATATGGAATACTCAGGTTGAAAACTTTAAATTAAAATACAAATGAACAGCATGAATCAATACCAAATCACCTGCTAAATCATTTTACACTCTATAAAAATTTAATTAAGAATAAAAAAAAATATTTTAAAATGTCAAAGTTTATTACTATGGAGCATAATAGAACCGCAATTTAAGGAAATAATATTACTTTCTATTATTTAAAATTATTGTCTGGGTGAAAAGCATATAATGTATGTATATTTCAAGATAAACAAATTTTATATTGTATATTATATAAAACAAAATAGAAACTGTCTGTCCATTTTTTAAAAGTACTATTATCTAATCTATAATATTTTACACTCATCCCTTGCTTAGCGAAAGTTCGATATGCGGAATATCGGTTTTACGGAAATCAAAAATTAAACCAAAGTCTCTTTTTACGGAAAAAAAATTGATTTACGGAAAATTTTTTAAATGCAAAAATGATTCTTGTTGTCTAAAGTTTAAATAATAATAAAATTCTACTATATTTTTTGTAAATTATCAAGAAATATATGTACCTATATAAATTTAGGTAAAAAATTATGTGGCTGTAATGTAATGTAAGTAAAAAGATTCGATTTACGGACAACACTTCCGGAACATATTAGTTCCGTAAAGCGAGGAATGAGTGTATTTCATAAATTTTTAAGTAAAACTATAGTCTAGAGAAGTTAAAGTAAAGTACATCAGAAGGCAAAACAAATAAATATGTGAATTAACCGTACATACATATATATGTTGTACGCATATTTCGATATTTCAATCACTTCAATTTTACTTTACCTTTTATTTTTAATATTATAAATATGATTAATGCCCATTAAAATTGTTTCTTATAATTTTAAAAATTAATTGGAATCGCACATTTTTTTTGAAAATAAGTTGAAATTATTTGCGTATAATATTATGTACTTAAATATGTAATATTAATATTACCCCAATTGGTTCAAATTATCAATTAATCGATTTCATTACGAAATGAAGAAGCATAAATATTTTTTAGGTGTTATTGTATGAATAAGGAATTTTCCTCTTTGTACTCATTTTTTAAATAATTATGTACCTAATTACCGATTACCACTCAGAATTAATTTTTATTGTACGTGTTAATTCAAAATAGTAAATCTTATCTTTTTCAAAACTATTTATCCATATTAAATGTTTTTTATTATATGTAGATAATTCATAAAACGATGTAAAATATTGGTTCAAATTTCTTTATTTTCAATCAAATAGATGTAATGCATGTACTGCCATTTAAATTATCATTTCTAGAAAAATTGTACACTGTGCGCCTGATACATTCGCCTTGAAATATAGTTTTTTTTAAATGACCATGTAGCTTTATAATATTCATGATTGTTACTCGTTTTCTTTGTAGTACATATATAATAAAAGACAAGATTTCTATGCAAGTTATTGTTTTGAACAAAACGTTTAAAATTATTGTTGAATTGAAAAATTAAGATTATTTTAAATGATTATTAAATGCTTTACCCGCGAACTTATAAAAAATTTTAGGATTTCAAGCAGCAGCAATTAACTTAATATATCTAAAATCACTTTCCATACTTTAAAGTGATCGAAAATCATTTTTTTGCACCACAGTATTTTAATTTTTTCTTTATGATTTTTTAATATTTTGTCGCAAAGTGCATAGTATGTGTAGGGAACTTAATCGTGTAATTATGTACATATTAAAAAGAAAAGCTCAATATTTCAATGTATTTTCATTATGTAGGTAGATGCTTTGAGGCAAATACAATCTTATCAATTAAAATCTTTGGCTTTTATTTGCAACAGGTGCATAAAATAGAATAATACAATCTAGAATATATTATTATAAAAGAAAATATAGTTACTTTTATTAAAGTAAAATAAATTATTAAAATATTTATTAAGAATATTAATTAATAACGCAAACTTTTCACTATACAATAAAATCATTTTAATTTGCTTTCAAAGTTACTTTCAAAAACTTAAAATTGACTTCAAACAATTACAACTACTCTATT